ATAGGCCTAGGGTGATGATATTTGGCTAGTAGCATGCTGGGATGAAGGGCTATAAAGTTTGTTCAAATGAATGACCTTCATCTTTTTTCAAGGTCACAGGGTCAAATATATTCTTAACCTTTAAACAACTTCTTCTGAATAACCAAGAGGCCTAGGATAATGCCAGTAACATGCTGAGATGAAGGACTACCAAGTTCAAATGAATGACCTTGACATATATATTTTAAGGTCACAGGGGTCAAATATGTTTAAAACCATTGAATGCCTTCTTCTTAATAAGCAAAAGGCCAAGGGTGATGATATTTGGCCATTAACATGCTGGGATGAAGGACTACCAAGTGAATGACCTTCGCCCATATTCAAGGTCACAGTGGTCAATATATGTTTAATTCTTAAAATGATTTGTTCTGTATAACCAAAATGTCCAGGGTAATGATATTTTTCCAGAAGCATGCTGGGTTGGAAGACTATAAACTCTGTTCAACCTAATATTATAATGTCCTCATTCGACATTCAAGGTCACAGGTGTCATATGTTTAAATCTTTTAATAGGTTCTTATGAATGAAACAATGATATTTTGCCTGTAACTGTATTTTAGTCCACTTTTAAGATTACAAGTGTGAGATTAATACCAGGTGAGCGATGCAGGCCCATTGGGCCTCTTGTTAATATTAATAGACTCCTTTTCATTTCTTTTCGACAACTTTTAATACACCTGCAGAGTGGAGCATATCATTCTGTCGGTCCATCTGTCAGTCCGTCCGTCTGTCCGTTAAAACTGTCTTGTATGTGCAACTTATCCCACAGCCTTCAATCAAATGTTTTGAACTGTTGTGTATGTTGTTGGTATCACATGAAGCTTTATAGATCATAAAATTGGGATCCTGCATCAGTTTTTACAAGAGTAATGGCCCCTTCCTAGCTCAAATTAGTTTTCTTTTGCATCAATATATTACTTTAAACGACTTCTTCTTAATAACCGAAAGGCCTAGGGTGATGGTATTTGGCCAGAAGCAAACTGGGATGAAGGGCTACAAAGTTTGTGAAAATGAATGACCTTCACCCATTTTCAAGGTCACAGGGGTCAAATATGTTAAAAACTTTAAACATCTTATCGATAATCAAACTGCCCAGGGAGACGATATTTGGCCAGTAGCATGCTTGGGTGAAGGGCTAATAATTTTGTTCAAATGAATGACCTTCAATTATATTCAAGGTCTCAGGGGTCAATTGTCTTAAAAAACCTTTAAACAACTTCTGATGAATAACCAAAATGCCGAGGGTGATGATATTTGGCCAGTAGCATGCTGAGAAAAAGGACTACAAAGTTTGTTCAAATAAATGACCTTTACCTATATTCAAGTTCACAGGGGTCAAATATGTTAAAAACTTTAAACAACATCTTCTGAATAACAAAAATGCCCAAGGTGATGATTTTTGGCCAGTAGCATGCTGGGGTAAAGGGCTATCAAGTTTGTTCAAATGAATGACCTTCACCTATATTCAAGGTCACATGGGTCAATTATGTTAAAAACATTAAACAACTTCTTCTGAATAACCAAAATGTCCAGGGTGATGATATTTAGTCAGTAGCATACTTGGATCAAGGGCTACCAAGTTTGTTCAAATGAATGACCTTCACCCATATTCAAGGTCACAGGGGTCAAATTTGTTAAAAACTTCAAACAACTTCTTCTGAATAACCAAAATGTCCAGGGTGATGATATTTAGTCAGTAGCATACTTGGATCAAGGGCTACCAAGTTTGTTCAAATGAATGACCTTCACCCATATTCAAGGTCACAGGGGTCAAATTTGTTAAAAACTTCAAACAACTTCTTCTGAATAACCAAAATGTCCAGGGTGATGATATTTAGTCAGTAGCATACTTGGATCAAGGGCTACCAAGTTTGTTTAAATGTATGACCTTGAATCATATTCAAGGTCACAAGGAGCGTATATGTTCAAAATATTTAAAGAACTTGTTCTGAATAACCAAAAGGCTCAGGATGTTGATATTTAGTCAGTAGCATGCTGGGATCAAGGACTACTATGTTTGTTAAAGTGAATGACTTTGACTCATACTCAAGGTCACAGGGGTCAAATTTGTTTAAAATCTTTAAACGACCTCTTCTGAATAACCATGGGTCCCAGGATGTTGATACTTTGCAAGTTGCATCCCGAGATGAAAGGCTATACAATTTGTTCAACATAATGACTTTGTTCGACTTTCAATCAGAGGTGTAAATGTTTAAAAAAAAAATAACAGGCACTTTTAAATGAATTTTAATCATAAATACTGATATTTTGTCTGTAGCTTTATTTTAGATCACTTTTAAGGTTACAAGTGTGAGATTTATACCAGGTAAGTGATGCAGGCCCATTGGGCCTCTTGTTTGTGAGTGCAACTTGTCCCACAGTTTTCAGACAAATGCTTTGAAATGTATGCCATATGTATCATGAGGTTTTGCTTATCATACTAGTCCCACAGAGAAAATATACAGTTGTCTAGTTTAACCCTTTCACTCCTATGTAACTTTAATAAACTCAACCATGCATTGATCTGGATGAGTCCCAACACTAGTTATTAACGGCATTGTTATGAAACAAGTTATTTCAACTTGTATTAATCACTCTTGTTGTCCTGGGTGTTAGCATGCAAGGGGTCTTACTCTTAGTGTGGGAGGAAACCGGAGTACCCGGAGAAAACCCAAGTAGTCTGGCAGGTGACCCCATACCTTTTTACGTCCGATTGGGGAATCGAACCCTGGTTGCCTTGGTGAAAGGCAAGTACGCTATCCACTGCGCCACCCGACCACCCAATGCCAGAGTTTAAATGTTGTCGAACTATCCAGACCTCACACCTCATGTGGAAGATATGGATAATGGTGTAAAGGGTGTAGGACACAGAGTTTTGACTGATTATATTTGGGAATTTACCAGGTGTTACAGACTAGGAATTTTGTGGTATGAAGTGTATGTTTACTATGTACATATAAATGTATAGTACTTAACAGTGAAACAGCCTGTAAAATCTCATACAAACTCATTTCAAACTCCTTGAGAGAAGTGGAATCTTCAATTTGGCCGCATTCTTTTATCACGATCCAAATGGTTGAACCGGTTGAACCAGGGTTGTTCGTTTATGTAATAAGGTGGGACCTGGTAATCTGGTGCTGCTTTCAGGCCAGCCTTGAAAGGCCTGCATACACATTTGCAGGTCCTCTAGGATTTATTCTCGAATATGTGAAAGGGGCCTCATACAGATGTATATGTCAAAGCAAATAATATTTATAATTGAAAAGTTCTGTTGCAAATATAATAGCTCACCTATTGGAAAAATTACGGGCGATTTTTGAGTCTCATCCGCAATATGGCATTGGATTGCTAGGTTATCAAAATAAATTCTTGAAACTATTTTTGTCTGTTTTGGCCCGACTTAAAACCATATGTCAAAGTCCAGAGTTAAAGTTATGGTGTAAGTGTTGACACCTACAGTTACTCAACCTTCACTATTTGTGCTGGGATTCTGACATTTTGTTTCAAGGTTCTCGGGGATCCAAACATAGATGCAGTGCTGTTAATACAGGGAAAAAAAGAGTTAAACAAAATTTAAGCCTGTTTGTGACTTCAAAATGGTTAAAATATTCTTTAAATATGGTAGATGAGCTATGTTGTTCTTCAACCGCTCTTGTTATGCCTATTTTTGCAACACTTACTTTATAGATTAAGTATTGTTGTTGAGTTTGCTTCGTGGAATTGAATGTTTTGAACACTACATCATTTTTACAGATGTAGATTATTTTATTATGTATTATGTACGGAAATTTATCAGATAAGTTTCTATCATTATTTATTTGGCAACTGCATATTACAGACATATAGAGGATATTTCTGATATCTTATGAATGCCTGCTATATCACAGAGTGAGAAACCAGGATTATTTTAATTAATGTACGAAATATTAAAGTTGCAAAGGACAAACTTGTTTCTGATTTTGCTGTTGTTCGATCCAATATAGTGTGTATCCCCCCCTCCTAACTGTCCATATGGGGGTACATTAGAATTACGGTGTCCATTTGTCTGTCTGTCTGTAGACCATAGCTGTCAACTCTCCCTCATTAGGAGGAAGACTCCCTCATTTTGACCAAAATTTACCAAACTCCCTCGAAACTCTCTCATTCAAGTCCAAACTAACACTTACTCAAAATCTACATCCTGTGGTCAAATTATCTCCTAGTTACTGCAGGGCGTGTGTAATGATCATATGAGATGACGGAAAGATAAATTGAGCACAGCAGTTTCAGTTGCGATGTACGCACTTTCTCCCTTATTGGAAATGTGGAATGAGGGAGATCTCCCTTATCAGAGGTCTCGGAGCTCGAGGTTGACACCGATGGTAGACACAGAATGTATAACTCCTGCTAGAGTACAGAACAGATATCAAAGAAATTGTGTACTCTATGTTGATACCAGTGTGAAAGGTCAGATATTCACTTGAGAATCTGTCATCATATGGCCACGGCTATTAAGAGGATGTTGATTTGCAGAGTTATGCCCCTTCATGTGAAAAGAAATTGTAAAGTACTACTTTTCTTCAGTACTCAATAGATTTCACTGCACACTTCGTCTAGTTCGCAAGGGGAAAAAAAATCAGAATTTGTAACACATTTAATACATTATGACCTTATGTCATCATACATTGTGCTATAGGGCAGTGACAGAGGAATGCTGGGATAGAGGTGTTTTTCATAATACATTGCACCATGAAATTTGGCATGGCAGTAGGTAATGGCAAACTATTATGGAATACTTATTTTGAATATATAATGTAATGCGACCTGTTTAATTTGACACTTTGCTGGACACAACATATTGGTAAGATTTATTCGTCTAATCTAGCTGGCACCCAGAGAGATGCAACATATATATTTGTCAGAATAGATAAACCTGTCTTATCTGACACTAACAGGAATACAACATATTGGTCAGAATATATTAATTTGTCTAATCTGATACCCAGTGGGATACAACATATGAGCTAGAATATATTAACCTGTCTTGTCTGACACCCAAGTAGGATAAAACATATTGGTCAGAATAGATAAACCTGTATAGCCCGAAACCAAGTTGGATAAAACATTGGTCAGTAAAGATTAACTTCTAATCTGGCACCCAAAGGGATGCAACATATTGGTCACAATAGATAAACCTGTATAATCTGACACCCAGAGGGATACAATATATTGGCCGTAATATATCAACCTGTCTAATCTGACACCTAAAGGGGGATACAACATATTAACCGGAATGTATTAACCTGTCTAATCTGACACATAAAGGGATAAAACATATTGGCCAGAATAGATAAACCTGTATAATCTGGCACCCAAAGGGATGCAACATATTGGTCAGAATAGATAAACCTGTATAATCTGACACATAAAGGGATACAACATATTTGCCAGAATAGATTAACCTGTATAATCTGACACCCATAGGGATACAACATCAACCGGAATATATTAACCTGTCTAATCTGACACAAAGAGGGATACAACATATTGGCCAGAATATATTAACCGGTCTTATCTGACACCTAGAGGGATAAAACATTGGTCAAAATAGATAAACTTGTATAATCTGACACCTAAAGGGATACAACATATTGGTCAGAATATATAAACCTGTATAATCTGACACTTAGAGAGATACAACATATTTGTCAAAAAAGATTTACCTGTCTTATCCGACACTAACAGGGATACAACATATTGGTCAGAATAGATTTACCTGTCAAATAAGACACTAAGAGGGATACAAAATATTGGCTAGAATAGATGATTCTTTCGAATCTGACACCCAGAGGGATACAACATAATTTTCAGAAAAGATTTACCTGTCTAAACCGACACCAATTAGGATATAACATACTGGTCAGAATAGATAAATCTGACACCCAAAGGGTTATAACATATTGAATAGATTAATCTGTCTAATCTGACACCATTTGGGTCACAAAACATTCGTCAGATTTGCCTGTCTACTTTGACGACCAGCTGTTTGACATATCATACTGGTCTCATTCACCTGTCTAATATGACACTCAGTGGGTCACAACATGTTCGTCACATTAACCTGTCTAATTTGAGTCAATTGACATTCTACTTTCGGTTTCGTTTCGGTAGTACAGAGTTGTGAACAAAAAAGTGTTTTGTACACTTTTTAGACAAGGTAATACAAGAACAAACAAAAAAGATTATTTTTTTTTGAAACCATGCATCTTTTTTAAGTTTATTATCCTGAAAAATAACAACAATATACAACAAATTCTATCACTATCAGACGCAAGTTTTGTTTTACCAGAGTTATCTACCTTGACCACCTTCTCCAATGTCGAACTGTCACTTCAATCAGTACAGACACTGTTAGTTAGGCCTAGTGGATATATGTAGAGTCTTGGTGGGTGCAAATGGTCATTGCATCAAATAGATAATAACGAAGTGACACTGTATTACTTATCAACCTAGGTTAATATGCATATGTTGCATCGTATATCGCTTGCAATGATTTGATTGCTCCGTAGAGCAGTAGAGCATGTCGGTGACAAATAAGGAAAATGAAAACCAACACTAGCAACAGCTCCTGTTCCGGTAGAACGTGCAACTGATAACAAAGCACGTAAGTTTCATTATTATTGTCAAGATCTCAAGCGGTCACCTGGGTCATTCATTCTCGATGTTCTTACTTCTTTTATCTTGGTGGTAATAGTGGTTACATATTTTCTTTCTTTTACCTGTTTACCACAGGGGCCTGAGCATTTGTTACAGATGTATTTGTACGTAAACCAAGGTGTTCGGAGTAATTTTACACGTTTTAGGGGTTTATATCAACTTTCGGTACAGTTATATACAGACAGGTTACTGTCGAAAAACACAGATCAGTAGGACAGGGATCCTTAAAACGAAATGGTCTCGTCCACATATCAAGTTACATAGAATTTTTTCTTCCATAGTATCTTGGAAATGAAATTGTCTAACCCACATATTGATATCAAGAAAAAAGTAATCATAACCCAAATGTTTTCTTCTTTACAGGTCTCGATCTGAACTTACAAGTGACATAATATTACTGCCAAAAAGGACATCAACAATGGCTTCAGAAAAGAAAAAGATGAATGTGATAGGTAAATGTGAAAGAGAGCTGAGGTCACAACATGTTATAAAAGGTCACTGACTTCCTGGTCAATGAACATTGTTATACTCGAACATCTATGCATCCTCAATACTCCAGAGGTTATTAAAGCTCACATACACTCTCAACACCCCTGGAGTATATATTGTCATACAAGTGCAGCAAACTTGAAAGGTCAGTGTGCGTCACCTTGTTGATGAGACAAGAAGACTAGTTCTATCCTTTGTTGTTAATCAAAAGAATCTCACAGTCTCGTAACGGTAAAAATTGACTGGCTTTGAGTAAAAATTGACCGGCTTAATTTGAAGTTGGTTGTCGCTCCACTGTAATCTTCAAAAAGACAGGTATCAGCCTAGCGATTGGTCAGGTTTTCTTACCTGAGACCAATCTTTTGCTATGACATACTCCAGGGGTGCAGAGAACGAAAGTGAGCGTAACCCCTGGAGTATCGAGGATCACTTTTGACTACCTATAGACGAATATACTTTAAACCTGTGTTGCAATATATATATAGAACTAAATGTTCCTAGATGCATGATTATTAACTCATTCACCCCTGAAGACACATTTGAACTCTTCCAATTCAATGGTTGGAATAGTTCATTATGAAATGTCAGGGGTGAATGAGTTAATGATAATAAATTATTATGAACTTGTCGGCCATACCAGAGTTTTGAATTGCTTCTTCTGGTCATATCGGTAGGCTGTAGCACAGAATTAGATTATTTACTTTCTTGAAAATTTGCTGTCACTCATTTAATTGTTGTAACAGTTCTTTTTGCATGTATCATCAATGAAAATAAAATTCTTGTAGAACAGCACTCTGACAATCACGACAGCTTGCAGAGCTCTATACACTGTGTTTTTTAAGTGGACTTCAAAGCATTAAATTGACCAAAAAAATGAGGGAATAATCTAATCATGTGACATGTCTAGCATTCAATTTGGTTGGTTCATGAACGTAACATGCAATGTTAATAATTTTGTCTGCAGAACCATATGTGTCAGGTGAAACTTGAATTTGTTTGATAAAGAATATTTGTTTTCTCTCTGTAGAAATCAAGAGGTACCAGTCGGAGTTGTATGAAAGTATTATGAACAAAGATGCTAACTGTATGGAACTTGTGCAGAAATATGAAGAGGTCATTGAAAAAGAAATTGAAATCAGTAAGTTACAGTACATTCTTGATATTTTTTCAAACACAATGTTCAGATATATTATTCCTGCTCAGTGAAAAATGGAGTAAAGTTTCTCTCTTGGAATTGATATGGATGAATGTATTTAGCTGAAATGTTATATGAATACATTTATCGCCAGTACATAATGATAAATTGAACTTTCATCTTAACCCTTTCACCACTGTAGATCATAATGGACTCATCAAGATCAGTGTATTGGAGGTTCTACTAAAGTTGCATAGGGGTGAAAGGGTTAAGTTATAGCAACAGGTTTGTTCTTTGTTTATGTCACAATTAGCGGTATACCGAATCAGAGCACATTTACATATAGAAAATCCTTGTTATGCTGCCATCATTTGTCCAGACAAATTTTGGCATTATAAAGGGGTTTGGCGATAAAGTGAAGGAAATATATAAAGGAATTCTTAAGAAGAGGACAAAAGGGAAAATTGAAATATGTTGAACATTTACATACAGTAAAACTTTGTTATACTGCCATAATTTGTCCAGAGAAATTTTGGCATTATAAAGGGGTTTTGGAGATAAAGAGAAGGCAATATTATAAAGGAATTCTTAAGACAGGGATAAGAAGGACCTTGAAATGTGTTTGTGGTATATGAGGGCTAATTAAATGAGGGGCATTATTTCAAGGCTTTCCTGTACATGTACATGCACAGCACAAAAATTAAAGATTGTATCAGAGAAAAAAAGAATGTAAAATATGAGATTTTATCAATCATGAAATATAGTTGTATTGTGAAAGTAATTGGTGTGTATAAAGTTCTCGGTTCTAAAAGGAAACATTTAGAAAAGAACAAAAAACAAGGGAGTTAAGTCATTTCAGAACATCTGCATTTAATCACACAACAGTTAGCCCCACTATGTATTTCTTATAACTCCTATATCATACCCTGAAGTTCAGTCACTTACCCTTTTAGTTCACAAGTGGAAGTACACTACAAGTGGTGGTTGCTATCATGTAGCCATTGTAGTATAATTGTCAACAAATTTGCCTACCTACTTAATTTTTTTCTGAAAGTTTCCCAGTTGTCATGAATCACTCGGTTAAAAATATTACAGGGGTTGTGGATTTCTGACAGATGCAGTTAAACCTTATCAAAACTGTGTTTTTTTAAAATGTTTTTTTCAGACATTGGTTCAATGTGTCGATGTGGACGAGAATTTGAACATCATTTTATACAAGAACCTCACCAATCAAAACCAATGATTGACAAAATATCGGAGATGATACGTCGTGGCGAGTGTAAATGTGGCAGAGAAGGTCCTGGCCTTCACAAAGTCGGGATTGTCAAATTAACATTTGTCCACGTTGCTGCCTCGGCAAACAACGTGGAACTGTTGCGACTGCTTGCATCCCATGCCGACTTGTTCAAACAGCAGACATCATTAATGAATCTTTCGCCTATTTTTATTGCTGTGACCCTGAGAAACGAAGAAGCTACGGATTTCCTCCTCACACAGGATATAGATATTAACGCTGCTTGTACCACAGAACAATTAACAATCCTGATGCGTGCCGTGCAGCAGGAAAAGGTCAAACTGGTTGAAAGAATATTGCGATTTCCTGGCGTTGACCTTAATATGAAGAACGTACGAGGGGAGAGCCCTGCCACTTTGTCATTAGATTGGCAATGTAAAGAGATATTCGACATGCTGATAGATGCTGGAGCAGACGTCAACAGCACAACGGGATCGGGTGAAAGCAGTCTACTCATGATAGCCGTTTCTAAAGAGTTGGACTATGTTACTAAACTCATCGAAAAGGGCGTGAATGTGAACTACACCAATGAGCGCAATGAGTCAGCTCTGCACTTAGCTGTATATGTTCGTAAGTAAAAAGTAGTGAAAGTCAACCATTCATGTCATATTCTCAAGTTTACCAACACTGGGCGGTCATGAAATGTAATACAGGTTGAATCTCCTGGTGCTGGGTTTATAGGTCCTCTTTGTATAAGAAATAAAAGTAAAAACAGGTGAAGAGAAGTAAAGAAAATGCATTTGATGATTTATTTTTATTATTAGAAATTAATTGAAAAAACATCTTTGACAAAGTAAGTTTTACAAAAACGTGATCTATAAGTTAGGCCCAAAATAGATGTGGTTTTGCATTTTGCAAATTAGGGCTATACAGTCTGTACCTTAAAATGTGACTACTAGGAAATTATCCTTAATCAGTATTTCGTGTGGAACCTCCCCGGTATTTTCAGGAATAAACCAACTTTTGTAATGTAAACAAGAGCCTGTGGACTGCAACATTGAAAAAAACTTCTCGATAACTCCAAAGGCTAAGATTTGCCAGAGCTTTTCTTATATATACATTTAAATACATATTGAGCTATCACCTCTGACAAAATGTGTTAAATTTACTTTCATTTAACTTAAACATGTTGAATTTTTGGCTCGCTGGGTCTGAATCTATTAAGGCCCCTGGACCTCTTGTTGCGAGGTTGAATCACGAAAATATAATCACTGTTAAAATATCAAAATTTTACATTAAATTTCTGTAGTGGCGTAACTTGGTCATTGGGGTAATTAAAAAAGAATCATCTATTTTTCTGTAGTACATTGTACTGAAGTTGTGTGATGATAAAATTATCGTCAGGTTTTGAATTTCAAGATTTGTAAATTACAATATCTTTACAGGTAATGTTGAAGCAGTGAAAGCCTTGTTGGAAGCTAACATTGATCCCAATGTTAGAGAGACCGGTGAAGAAATGACTGCCGTAGCAATGGCTGCCAACCACCTGGGGGAAACGGCTTTGGTGGAAGCTCTTGCCAAAGGTGGAGCAGACGTGAATATACCTTCAGATCAGGGGTACAATGGATTGCACATGGCAGTGTGGAATGGCCACACAGCCATTGTTAAGGTTCTGCTAGAGGCTGAAGGGGTAGAGCATGACAGGATGACATCCGACAAAAACACTCCCCTGGGACTAGCGTGTCACGGAGGCCACCAACAGGCAGTGGAGATGCTGCTGCCAATGGGTTGTAATGTGAACAATCAAGATAAAGACAATGACACAGCCTTGCACTTTGCTACATACAATGGCATGACGGACACCGTACGATTGCTTCTGGAACACGGAGCAGATCCTGACGTTAGAAATAATTACAATGTCTCGCCACTATGGAATGCCGTTTATGGGAAACACACGGAGATAGTAAAAATACTGCTTGGAATGAATGTGACAATGGAGGTGAACTGCATAGGCACCGACCATCATTCAAACACTGTCGAAGTTGTGCCACTCTTCAATTCCCCAAGGTCCACTCTGTACGTGGCTGTCCACCATGGGTGTACAGATATTGTGTACCTTCTCCTCTCTGCCGGATACAACATATACAGAGAACAATGGCTCCTGAGAGGTGACTATTCAGAGTTACAACGACATAAAAACATTGTGACAATGCTAACGAAGCAGGCTAGTCAACCGCCTCGCCTCATTTCTATCTGTCGTAACTATTTCAGGAGGTATGGTAATCCACTCAAGATCAAGGAACTTGTGCTTGCCCTCAAGCTGCCAGAATACTTGAAAAATTACCTTTTGTTGGCTGAGTTATTGATCAAGTCCTGAAAAATACAGTGATCAGCAATATACATGTATTCTGTGCCCGACTTTCAGGATAGCTACTTGTTTGATATTATTATACATTTATATATTTATATATTTTTTTGAGAATAACTATTTTTGCTTGTTTTAATGCCGGAAAGTTCTAAGACCACCTTACCAATTTGACCTACCAGAATTGTATCATAAATATGCACTTAAGTATCTCATTTCTGTTTGAAAAATTACCTGTTGTTTGCCGAGTTATTGATCCAAGTCCTGAGAAAACTTGAGCTAAATCTCAGGTGACTATTTATTGTGCGTCGTCTGTCATCCGTTTACATTTTACATTTTCAACTTAAGCTGAAATACTGTCTAAGGGATTTCATTGATACTTCATGGGAATGTTACTGACATTTCTCTGACCAAGTGTTGTTATTTTTTCGGGTCGATCAGAAATCCAATATGGCCAACACGGCTGCCATTTTGAAAAAAAATATTTCAAACTTAAAGTCAAGTTCTATTGGGCCAATTTAACTTAAACTTTGTAGGAATGATCGAATCATGGTCCTGACAAAGTGTTATTATTTTTCGGGTTGATTAGAAATCCAATATGGCCGCTACAGCTGCCATTTTGAAAAACTATTTCGAACTCTTAATCAAGTTCTACTGGGCTGATTGAACTGAACTTGGTAGGAATGATCAACTCATGGTCCTGGCAAAGTTTTTTTTTCCTTTTTCGGGCCGATCAAAAGTCCAATATGGCCACCACGGCCGCCATTTTGAAAAGTGTTGTTATTTTTTCGGGTCGATCAAAAATCCAATATGGCTGATAAGTCCAATATGGCCACAACGGCCGCCATTTTGAAAAAAACACCTATTTTAAAGTTACAATCAAGTTTTTATAGGCCGATTGAACTGAAAGTCTGTCTAGGAATGATCAACTCATGGTCCTGACAAACTTAACTTAACGTTGTACCTAACTATTTTTTACTCAAATTGATAGGAATGATTGACATCATTATCTACACAACATATTTCGACAACAAAAATAAATAATGTAGGACTCAGGTGACCGTTAAGGCCCATGGGCCTCTTGTTTCATTTCAGGATTAATACCCAGCAATCTGTCTATTTTGTATAAGTTGAATGACATGAAAAAAATCTTAAAATGATCTTAAACGGCTCTGCTGGGGAAAAAAAATCATCATGGCTGTTATCAAAATGTCTATTTATTTGCTTATTTATTTATTACAATGCAAAATTGGAATAGCAGACTCATTTGCATTGTAGGCACGTGCTTCTTGACAGGAAATTCTGGCCTGTATCTTTAGCCATAACATTTATGATTTCAGTTTTGAAAGAAAGGATACGACTGACATGACTGTGATTTTTCAAACCTTAATGATAGGCATTCTAAATTGTTGTTTTAATATCATATAAAATATCCATTTTTTACTACATTTTCATCCGAGAAAGTCATTTATAAACGTCAGTCCATTTGTGATGCATAATGTATTTCAGAATTGTTATTTATTAAGATGTGGTTCCTAAAAGGATCATTAATAATGATTTTGATGTTTTTCCTTTTTGGAATATTGTATTAATCCAGCCCACTAACCTGTCTTGCCTAATGTTTATTAAGTAAATTGTAGATTGGTTTGGTTTGGTTTTATTTTGTTTAATGCCCTATTAACAGCTAATGTCATTTAAGGACGTGTCTCCATGTGTGAAATGTATGCGTGCTTGTGTGTTTGTATGCTGGAGGCAAAATATGTTATTGTAATTGCCTCCTTGCGATGGCGCAGATCTGATGCTAATTTCAGAGTGCTTTCTCACCGAAAAACCATGCTGAAGGCACCCAGCACATCATTCCACCCAGTCACATTACACTGACAACGGATTAACCAGTTGTTGCTTAAAAATTCAGTACTGATCGTTAAACAAGAAACAACTACTACCATTTTTAAGGACTTTTGTATGTTCCGGCCTGGGGACAGAGCCCACTGCCTACCCCACTTGGGCAAATGCTCAACCTTAATGCCAAAGGTAAGGTATTGCCGAGCAAGGCACTAGGAAACGAAAATCTGGAAGTAGGGAGGAAATATTAAGATACCGAATGTTGCAATGGGGGCGGCAGATCAATTGTGGTTTCTTCACTGTCCCCTCAGCAGAAGGCACGGAAGGAAACTCTGCAGAGCCACCACATTAGTTATCTTTTACAACATGTAGTGGGATACAGCGGGCCAAATACTTCCCTGAACCTGTAGGGGCCTACGTTATAGCATCCCTCGTCAAATTCAATGACACTCTTTTTGGTACAATGCTTTATAATATCTCTTTTCATCTGCATGCATGTATAACAGACCTGCTTTTAAGTGTGTGTTTGATAAACACATTAAAAACAATAATATCATGACATGGTTGATTGAAACCTTATAATTTTACCAGGATTTTCTATTGGTTTTGAAAAAAACTTTAGATTCATGAATGTGTTATTTACCTTCAATAAGGTCGAGCATAGTAGTTATAGACAGATGTCGTATACAGGATATGTGTTCAAATCTAACGTCATGGGATGACAAACTATTTGATGTAATGCATATTTATCACCTCTGAAGCAAAATACCAGTGAAAGTCTTTAAGTTTATCTTTGAAAAAGACCCCAAGGCCAAAAATCTGTGAATCCAAATATGTCTGAACTGGTGTTGAAACAGAGGGGCAGGTGCGTTAAAACCCCATAATTTACGAGTTTAAAAATTCAGAGGAGTACTGGATAATTGTAATTAATAATCTTTAAAGTATATATATATATATATTATGAACCATGCCACTACTCAAAAGAGTTAATTGTGGCCATTAAAGTTACAGTTAAAATTGGGGACTAGAAATCCACCAGCAGGACCTACAACCTTGTAAAACACATACATTTGTTTGTTTATGTTTAACGGCCCATCGACGGCTGTGGTCATTTAGGGCCAAAAACACCACATACAGGTGATTGTACCTTTGAAATGAAGTACCAAGTAATAGGCACAGTTTGCTAAATAAAATGAATTAAGCTACATCATACAGCTGTTTTGTCCTTCTAGACCCAACCTCTCCCAAGGTCATAAAGAGTAGGACACTGAAACCTGGGAGAGACAGGGTTGTGACCAGATGTTAAGGTCGGGAGTGGATTTTGAATCATATGTATAGTGCGCATGCCATGCCTTTAACTGGTTGATAATGTAGAACATTTTCGTTAACCCATTCACCCCTAAGGTCACATTTGAACCTTACCAAATCCAAGTCTTGGCAAGTCTAGTTTATATATGTAGGGGTGAATGAGTTAACTTAGCCTTAATATAAGTTTAGCTACATGTATAAGTTGCAAAGTTCTTCATGTAAAGCAATGAAAAGTGGAACAGTAATACAGGTCTTTTATAGTCTTTGTATGTGTAGTTTTAAAAACTAGATGAGCTTTTCTGGTTTTATCAGTCTTTTTTTTATTTTTTTATTTTTTTACTGAGTTGAAGAATAAGATTATAGATCAGCTAATTGTTTTTTTACCGTCTTTTATAGTCCTTGTATGTGTAGTTTTAAAAACTGGATGAGCTTTTCTGGTTTTATCAGTCTTTTTTTGTTTTTTGTTTGTTTTTTGTTTTATTGTGTTTTTTTACTGGGTTGAAGAGTAAGATTATAAATCAGCTAATTGTTTTTATCATTAAATTGTCAAAAGTATTGAAACCTGAATCTCTATGATAAGGAAGCCAGTATATATCGGGCATCCAATTTGCCCCATGATACACGTGTGAACATGTTACCTGTTTAATCTGAAAGCCTTTGTAACCCGAATTGTCTCCAGTTACGAGTGTGTGCCATTTAGACAGATTATACTGTATGTTGTAGTCGATGATATTTTTAAGAAAATAATATTATCAAAAAAACTGTGTGATTGTTATTGGTTGATAAAAAACATTGCGTTAACATTGTTGTTAATATTTGTTGTCCAGTGGCGGATCCAGAGGGTTTTTTGGGGCTTCAGGACACCCCCCTAAAGATGAACAAGAGACACATGCGATTGCATCTAAAAAAATCTAAATAGATACAGTATGCCAAACTGCTTCATCCTTCTCGGACAATTCGGTGATACCAGGGGCCAAAAAAGTGGAAATACAAATGGGTATAATCTACTGTTGCGACATTGGCCTAAATATTAATTTCCCTGTCTAAAATGAAATTTGGGGGCCGCGGTGCCCAAGTGGTTAAGGCGTCTGACACCAATGCTACCACTAATAATATAACCCTCCACTACTGGATCGCGAGTTCGAGACCTATACGTGAGACAGTCGCCAAGTACTGGCCGTCGGTCGGTGGTTTTTCTCCGGGAACTCCGGCTTTCCTCCACCACCAAAACCTGGCTCGTCCTTAAATGACCATAGCTGTTAATAGGACGCTAAACACAAACAAACAAACAAACAAATTAAAAACGAAAACTTTATCTGTCTCTCAAACCAATGCCATTGTGCAAACGAAGACCACACTAAATAAACAGTGATATAGTACTTCCTCCTACATATTAGGCGAAACGTTCGTTATCACTTACACAGACAATGTCAAAGAAAGAGGTGATTTAGTTGAAAATGGCTGTGCTGACCTTCAGCGAAAAATTGAATGTCAATTATAGTCATATTCATGAATGACCCCCCTGATAAGTACATACAGAATGCCATTAAAATCATCAGTTATTATCCCGAATAAGTTTATCACTGTCATGAGGAATGGCCTTTGATGGCATTTGAAATAAGGAATATTATCCGTTTGAAATGATACATTCAAAAGAAATTCCAAAGCAAGCAAACCGCAAAATCACTTTCTAAACATAGACAAATTCACAATAATTAAATTCACTTTACACCCCAAGTATTTTAAGATTATTTTTGCTTTTGACATTCTGCTGTCAATCCTAACGTTCTTCAATGCATTATATGAAAGCGTCTGTGGCAGGGGTTTAGCTGACATTGACATTTCTCTTTATAAGGTAAGAACCATTATTTTTACATTACTGTTCCTATGCTGTCCGTGTTAACGAAGTCAGAGCACGACTTTTGAAAGAGCCAGTACATTTATCAGTGATCGTTAGAGTAAAACAAGTAGAATGCCCCTCTCCTTTGGGACGTTTCTCCAAATATGGAAACAGACTAATGTTACGCCTGGATATACATAAAATATATACAAAAAACATCCAAAGAAATGACTAAAAAGTTTCTAAGTGCTTCCGTAGTACTTTAAAGTCTTTAGAGATTCATCAGGAAAAATACAGTGTATATAAAGAATAAAAAAGATCTAACAACCGATTACAAAACAAGCAGCTTTCTACCTTTTCAGGTTCTATTCCCACCTAAACCATATGGACAATCACATGGACATTCACTCTTTGTTATGATATATACAAGATTGAGAAATTGTGCAGGTCAAATTATAGACCTATTTTATTGTAATCTATACTTGTTCAGCATATGGGACGACGCGTTTTACAAGGGCGTTTTTACCTTAAGCACATTCAACTCTCTCCTATCGCTAAAATCAACATGGTTTTAAAATTGCAGAAATAACTTTTAATTAACTCATTCGATTCTTAGCGATATATCCGCAGTATTAGATAAAGTCAATGTGTGTCGTATAGTATATTTGGCACGTGAGAAGATTTTTCGGTAAAAGCTGGCATCATGGTCTAATTTTAAAATTATGTAGGTTTTGCATTGACAAAAAGCGAATGGTTTACATATTACTTATCAAATCGTATCCAAAGAGTTTTTATAAATAGGAAAACGTCACGACTGGCATCCTATTAAATCTTGGAGTATTCAAGGATATATATTGCTTTCCAATACTCAATTACTTCCACTTCTGTAGTTTCTGCATATCTCGAACACATATCTCTACATAATACATGTCTTATCCAAAAGATGGCTGGAAGACTTCAATTCACAAACACCGCAGCTGTAAAGGTAAACAGGACAAGTGAAACATTTCTTTTTTTAATGAATAATGAATATTATTAACGGAGTAAGTCCTCACAAACACTTCGCTTTGGTCATATCTGACAATAATTACCATCGACACGTGCGTAGCACTCGTGAAAAATATTAAAGCATTCACCCCACTCGTGAAATATCAATAAACCAAGATTATATTATTATTTTGGTTTTCTCCGGTCCACCTACCGCAAGTAATGTTGTGATTTTTTTTTTGCTAGGACAAATTAAAAAAACGTCAGGGATATAACTAGTTTTAATATCCAAAATATTGCAGGACATACCGCTATATATATTAGGAACATAACAATGATTACATACAGAATAAAAAATAATTTAACAATTTAGACTATTCGATTTGAAAAGTGATGTTTCGAATGTTGAAAGTTAAAAAAAAAATGCTAATGTGAAAAAAACTTAAAGATAGAAATCTTACCGCCAATAAAATATTATCTATATACATTTTTATTATTTACAAAACACCATATGCAAGAGTATATTTTGTTTTGAAATAATAAGGTCAATAGGAAACATCGACCATACGTCTGACTAACACCAAAATGAAATCAGCTCACAACAAGTTCATCCTTTTGACCTTTCAAGAAGATTTGTATTGCAAGGCTAGACGGTCAAGGTAACCTATTCGTAGTTTAGTCAAATGGGTTATCAGTTATCGGTAAGACAGTTTTTTTTATTTCTCTCTCGACGTCCCAGTTTCTACGTGACACAGGCCACCTGAACAGACAGCAGACGCACCGACAACATTAAGTATTTTTTACATTTCATTATAACATTTGTAACAAATTCCTTTGATCTTTTTTTCCCTTTTGCTAACACTTAATCAAATTGCCCGTTTGTAAGATTTCCTAAAACTTCAAGTTTGCACAGGTATTATGAAATGAAAATTTAGTTGCTATTTTCACAATGCTGAAAATAGCAAACGCAAATTGGCTATTCATAGAGCTGCATTTTGAAGGTTTTTTTTAATATTTCATTCTTACATTTGTAATTAACATTTTTTTCGCCTTTTGCTAACACTTGAACCTTTGGCGTGTTTGTAAGATCGCTTCAAACTAAAAGTTCGTACAGATAGTGTGAAATGAAATTAAGTTGCTATTTTTACAATACTGAAAATAACAAATGCAAATTGGCTATTCATAGAGCTGCATTTTAGGGAACGTTTGCGAAACTGGAACATGCTTTGTCAGATCCTTTTTTTTTTTTTGCGTTTTTAACAAATACCAATTATTATTATTTTCATACTCGTTTAATATATTTATTTATCAGGTTATGAAGGTGATTTACATTTGGACTACAGCCTGTCTCACTCTCGCATTGGTACCCTGTAGCAATGCTTTTGTCAGAGACAGAAGAGTTCCAAGATTGGTAAATCTGATTCACGGGGATATGAGGAAAACCGTCAGGGAGGTTTCCGCACCCTACCCAGAATTCCTCGACCCGGAAGTAACGGTGCTGTCAAGCAACATGTGAGATTTAATATCAGTAGTTTAGTTATCAAGTCGCTTAAATGTATTAATCATATATGCAACAGATATAACAAGCCGATGCAATGTTAAACATTGATTTTTCTTGATATACAGACTTAGGCCTAATATTATTGCCATAGATTATGTTGTTGGTTTTTTTTTGTACCAAATATTGAAAAAAAGGTCATAGATCTGAGAAACTTCGGTTTCTTACGATAATTTGTTATTTTCCAAAAGTGATTACCAGTTAAATAACGAAAAGCAAATAATGAATGATATCATCAGGCTTAAATTGATTTTAAAATGTTCTCAACCGCGTGCTTTTTTCAGTTAGTAAAATTCTGAAGATATATTGTTTATACTAGCATTACTACTCCGTTGCCGATTCTACCCGATGCGAGCGCTATGTCGTCAAGAGTATTTCATAACTACTTTATATGTGCATTTGTATCGTGTTATCCCCCAGTCCCCCAGAACCTAGAACAGAAACCAATCTCAGCGTTATGTACTTGTATTCAATTCTATTTAGACAATAATTGTCCTCTCACCAAATTCTGTTCAAATGTAACCACTTTCAATTCACTATCGCCAATTTTCCTTTTCTCGCCTGTAACATCCCAGTCGCCCCTGCTTGTGGAGTTGACTTGCTACTCCAAAACCCTTTTTTGAAATACCACGTTATTATGGAAAGATATGTATTTTATTGACCAATAAACAAACAAGGTAAGATTTTCTGTATATGTTTCAATCTGCGCATAAGAAGTTTTAAGGTTATCAATGATCATGAAAGTAAACATAATCTGATTAAATACCAAAAATGACATATTGTTTGCTTTTTCTCAGTCGATTCATGACCTACATACTTTCTTACATTTGAGAAGAAACATCAGGACCGTTGTCACTAGTATTACAGAAACGCCTACCTTTCTGGAGAACCTGATTTTTGTCCTACCTGTTAGGGAGTCATTCGTCTCATCAATTCTTTTTGTTATTATCCCTATCAAATCTCAATTACTATTTGACCTTATGTGTTGACAATATGCTATTCATTTTCTGTCGCATTTTATATATACTTAGCATATTTACGAATAAGGACTAATATCATTATTCTTTTGTCTAGACGACCCGATCCTAGCACCATGCCATCTATTGGTAACGGTCACGTGGCCACAGTAACACACAGCGACACCATGTATGTAGATGGACTCTACAATGGCCGAAACAGCACGACACACAGGGCCAGACTACGGTCTTCCGCTTCTATCAACATCACACAATTCTCTTTCCCCGTGGACACACAGAAGTATTCACTAGACGTCGGTAGAGGTAACACAATGGATTAATTTATTAGCTTTTTTTCCCCCAAAAAAAATCGTCTGTTACGTTAAAATAAAGTTTATAACTTTGAGTGTTTCAACGGCTTCAAAAGGGCAATATTTACAGTACCATAATGCAATATCACAGACCCTCAAGATAATGAATACAATACAGTACAACAATGGATTATAGAGTGGCTTTACACAAAATTTTATAGATGGTACAAGGATCTAATTATTTTTTTCAACTTTAAGAAAACTTTGAACATTTTGCGTGCGTGCGTTAAAAATGCCCTTTTTTATGTAACATATTGCCATTTTGACCCTTACATTCTTTATAAAGTTTTATTTTTCTGTTCACTTCTTTTAGATGAAAGCAATTTTCTAAAGTACACTCACTATGTATATTTTTCTCGGTAGATCTACAAAATGGTGAAATGACCTAAGTGTTTATACACTTCAACAAAAATAGCGACACGACCGTCATTATTGTTACAAAGTAATGAAATAAGTATATGTAAATTTAATTCTATCTATATTCCGCTGAATTTACATTGAATATACGTTATTTAACCTTTAATTGCCAGGTATGTATATAGAAGAATACAGCCAGGAAGGCAAAGTGAAAGTAGAACTGAAGATGTACGCCCATCAGTGGATGAACCGTCTGCTGGTTACTGAGATATCAGTGATTAATGACGGTGGTCAACCTGTTTACCTCAATCTATCCCAGACCCTCGGGCCAGTCAGTAGAGATGTTACCGTCAACACCACCCACAGCAATGGCTACCGGTAAGTGTTGTAATAGTGCACTGTATATTTCATTCTGTCCCAGACCCACGGACCAGTCAGTAGATATGTTACCGTCAACACCACCCACAGCAATGGCTACCGGTAAGTGTTGTAAAAGTGCACTGTATATTTCATTCTGTCCCAGACCCTCGGGCCAGTCAGTAGAGATGTTACCGTCAACACCACCCACAGCAATGGCTACCGGTAAGTGTTGTAATAGTGCACTGTCTATCTCATTCTGTCCCAGACAAACGGACCAGTCAGTAGAGATGTTACCGTCAACACCACCCACAGCAATGGCTACCGGTAAGTGTTGTAAAAGTGCACTGTCTATCTCATTCTGTCCCAGACCCTTGGGTAAGTCAGTAGATATGTTACCGTCAACACCACCCACAGCAATGGCTACCGGTAAGTGATGTAAGATGTGCAACACACAATTGTAAACCTCCAGAATGTGAATAAGTAAAAACACAATCGTTCAGCAAGTTCTTTTTCGTAGAAAGTAACGTTGTCACAAGGAACTGTAGGTCATTAACAACTGGTGCAAAAGATACACCGCGGTAACGATATAAATAGAGTAAACAAAGAGGCACAATAAGATCCCAAGAACAGTCCTAACACTCTATCAAAGCACGATGAATCCGTGTTTTGACAAAGTTGGACGAGATATTACGGTTGACCTAAAGTGATTTTTCTCTTTAATGTATCGGTTAGAAAGAGTAAACACGAGAACTCGGGATTTAGAGGGTTCACGCTCTAAGTCACCTCTTACTTTCAGATTAATGATCCAACCCCAATGGAATATGTATCCATTGACAGTATGCGGAAGATTTGGAGTTTCTACATCTGAGAGTAATATTGCCTGATCAGCCATGACTCAGTATTGGTGACTCTTTCTCTCTCACTTCTTGCCTTGGATCAGGGGAAAATATCATTTTAATGCAACACTAATTACAGCAGATAGAAAACGTTCAAATTAACCAAGATCATTTTAGGAAGAACAGTAAAAAAAAAAAAAAAAAGTTTCTCTTGAGAACACATTATTCCTGTTTCCGATCGGGATAACAATTACCATGAACTACGACGTCACAATGAAAGACGACATGGCAAAGTATTATTACTTCACCTCATACTGAGAATATTGACCAATTAAATAACGTCCAGGGTGTTCTAGTGGGTACCAAAAAATGAAAAAAAAATCTCCTATGAGGTTTATCAAATGAGTTGGGAGTGAGGAATCATATAGTGCTTGTGGGAGAAATAAGTGTTCACACCCTTTCAGGCGAGGTTGGTAAACCTTACACTAGGGATGCTATTTTGTATGTGGTTCCAACCGAGATTGTCATGTCATCTAATAATCTTACCCCGAAGGTGGTAACGATGTGCCCGTCTCACCCGCAATGGATTAAATTAATCATTTTCTTCTTACCCCAAAAATTGGGACTTCTTCAGATAATTAATTTGTTGAAAAATAATGCTTCGTATGGCAAATATCCAGAGATATTGTGACGTGATCTAATTGTAAAATATGACCTCATCAATTGTTTTCATTGTAAAGTCACAGAAAATATGTTAGGTGTATCGCCTTAAGATGAGATAAGAAAATCCTACAACTGGAAAATTATGTTTGTGATTTTCTTCTGAGTAATAGATGATTACTGCAGAACGTGGTTGGTGTAAGTTGGTAATTTGTTCCCTTTCATGCTACCGTGTACTGCTATCTTTTGTTATATCCTTATTTACATGTGGCGTCATGCGAACAAAACTATGTTCGCATGAAAAATTACTAATATCCAAACAAGCAATCCAGCAGAAAAAGAAGCACAATGAATTGTGTGTGTGTCTATTTGTTATAGCGTTGACCTGGAGATAACGAAGGAGACAGAGGTGGAAGGCGCTGATACGGTGCCAGTCATGGCATTATCTACTCCTGTTCCGGAGTCAATCACTGTGGGGCCGAGCGAAGCCTCCCGCCATCTTTTCCTCACATCAGTTGGACAGAACCCCTTGATAGCCATGGACTTTTTTGGGACCGGTTTGTGATTTAATTTAAACATTTATAACATAACTAATTCAAATATTTACTTCATTCGAAATCGATGTTGTTTTAGCATTTGTTTTATTTTGATTTCTTGCGTTTATGCTAGAATCCTTAAACGAAGTGCTTCTTCAAAACTTGACGTATGTCCTCAATTAGAATAAATAGATTCTACGCAGGTAAATTACCAAAGGGTGTCAGTGATGTGATAATCATGATATTACGATTTTCCAACAGGACTAAGCTATTTTATGAATGGAACAATGGAGTCTTCTCACGTGAACCATTGGGCAAACATGTGGCGTAATGGAAGGATTGATATAGGCGGAAACAAGGACCTCAGTAGACTCAACTACGCATCGTTATATTATCTACTCAGTGAGATTCCCCAGTATGAGAGCTACGGACCTTTCTATGGCATCTCTGCAGGAGGATTAGGATACGGCGACAAACACAATGTAAAGAAACCTCTTTACATTCAATCTCATTTCTGATACCTATCAAGAATTCTTCTTGACTAAATGGATATCCTTTTGACACAATCTGTGTGTTCTCAGATGTTCTGTACGACTTATAAATAACATAAAATCCGCTTATTAAAGCATGAATGCATTTCTACACTGTTTCATATGATCAGATACGGTTTTTGTTTCGGCATATTGTCTGATGTTTAAATTGACAATACTCATTAGAATACTGGATGCATATTTACATATGTATACGAACAAGTGTTTAGTTCAATGAAGTGGTAACCTGTAAGCCGGAACAATTTGCTTTTAGAATGCACAATATTAATAATTTAGAAATTATCACCTTAAAAAGTAGGCAGTCATGTCCGAATTAACGCAGATTCACTTTTTTCATGTCTGCTCATTTCCTGATGTCCCCTTCCCTTTTGTTTTGGTGTTTCCTCATTTCCTGATGTCCCCTTCCCTTTTGTTTTGGTGTCTCCTCATTTCCTGATGTCCCCTTCCCTTTTGTTTTTGTGTCTCCTCATTTCCTGATGTCCCCTTTCCTTTTGTTTTCGTGTCTCCTCATTTTGTTGTCTTTCCCTTTCGTATCTATTTTGAGTTCCCATTTTGTTGTATGTCGAAGTTGCTGTGCTTTTTTTCTATTATGCTTTTTATTATTTTTCTATTGCCTTTTCGAAGGATTACAAAGGCCATGTATCTTGGGACCAGGACACTTGGATGTTTCCCCCCGTCCTTGCCCTCCATAGTGATAAAGCAAAGAAAATCGTGAAAACTCGAATTACGAAACACTCTGCTGCCAAACAACTCGCACAATCAATGGGCTACAAGGGGGCTATGTTTCCATGGGAAAGCGCTTATAGTGGTGAATATTAACTGATGAAGCATATTGCCAAGCCAAAAGATAGATCTATGCATTTTATTTATTTTCAACGAATCACAAAATCATTTGTTATTTTTGCATCAAAATATAAGAAAATACAGTGTATAGGATAAACGCTTTTCTATTCAACAAATAATTTCATCATTTTTTTTATAATTTCCTTAAACTGACTCAAATTCGCTTCTTCAATAAATTTTAGACATTTCGCAACAGGTCGTAACGTTTGTCCGACTGCTGACTGTTTGAACTACCAACACCACATCTCTGGCGACATAGCACTGGCTTTTCAGCAATACGTCATGATGACGCGGGACACTCACTTCCTCGACAGCGAAGGCGCAGCTGACGTCATCACAGACATAGCCTCATTCTGGATGTCGAGAATGAGTCATAATCAGGAAACAGATCAGTATGAAATACATGGTATTGAATTCGGTTTCATTTTCAAAAAAGAGTAGCTATAAAATGTTGCCTTAAAAGGAAACCTGACCTTTAATTAGACTTTCGTCATTAACTTTTGAGAACAAAATAATTGTCTCAGTGGCTAAAGTGAAGTGTAACATTGTACCAAGTTCACTTAAAAAGATATTTATATATTCTTAATGGAACTATTTATACTGAAAGGTATAACCGACAACTAAGCGTGTGAAGAAATCAATCAGTAATATTGTGATTGCATGTCAGTTCATCCTTTTTCCGGGTTTCAAATATTTTATTTATCTTATTTATAAAAATATCTTATTACTGTTTGTATAACAAATTTCTTTATATATTTCTTCCAGAAAAAAAAAAGATTCTTGAATAAAGAAATTACATTGTAGGTGTGATGGGCCCGGACAAATCCCATTACCCCGTCAACAACTCTGTATACACCAACAGTGTGGCGAAAATCAGTCTTCTTCTGCCCAAGTACGCCCTCTCTCTGATTAACAGGACGGTGGATCCGATGTTTGAGGAAACGGCTTTAAAGACTTACATACCTTTTGACGATGCGGGCAAATGGCATCCAGAGTTTGATGGCTATCAGCTAGGTTTGTAATTATTAGTAATTAATGTATATCTACTGGCTTTGTCAAGTTATACTCTTACTTTAAACTAACAAAATGAAATAGAATAAATACCTAATCATGGAAACATAAGGAAAAATAACAATGTTTACGTCTTGAATATTCATCAGATGCATGTGTCGATACAGGCTGCTGATGTCAAGTTGCATCTGGTTTCAAAATAAACAAGTTATATATTTTGGGCTTTCATAAAGAGACACATTTCTCTCTCCGTCAATTATTATAGTAAGTACACCTAATTCCGCGATAAAGTATAACATCTCAACTGACATGATAATTTGATATAAGATATAACAGCAAAATTGAAATCGTGGTATTCTAATATATCTGCGACATATCAATATTTTCCATTAAGATTTTTATCAATTTTTACTGTTTTCTATAACGAACCTAACAGGTACAACAGTACAACAAGCAGATGTAGTTCTTTTAGGATTTCCTTTGATGTTTGAACATACTAAGGAAACAAGGATGAATGATCTGCAGATTTATGAAAAGGTAAATATTATTCGAATCATGAGGTGAATTGTTCATACCTGTTTGCTGTGGTTGTCGTATGAATTCCTGTACTTTTTGCATTTATCCTGCATTGCCTGTATATAAAACTACCAATTTTTCTAATTGTCAAATGTGAGTTATGAGACGATAAATCTTGAGTTATCATCGTGACGTCATAGCAATTGTGACGTAATAATGATAACGTTATAAATAGATGACAGACACTGCTGTTTACTGTTTCATTTATTAAAAATCTACCTTAAAAAGAGATAATATACATATCTATTAATAGACAAAATCAATGAAAAAATGTTTTACAAATATTGAAATATATTTAGTTCAGATATATTCCTAACTCGGAATAGAGTTTAAGGCAAATGCTCAGAACTTTGAACACGCTTAAATACAATGGGACCTTGATATAACTGCTTCAATTCCTTAACGAGATTTAAAGAAGTCTATTGCATGTATCTATTTCTGTTTTAAGTTTTTCAGAAGCATACTAATTGTGTATATAATTGTGTATATAGTATCTGACATCATTACATGAATCACAGCACAGATATGTCAAGTGAATTTTGAATATATATGTTTTTCAAAATTATTCGGACTGAAAACAATATAAAGTTTTTACTTTAATAATTATTGAAATGAAATAGATTCAAAAGATATCTTAACGGTCATGATACTTATAAAAACTGTATAGAAATTAATTCAGCTGAATTCTGATAGCATCTCCTAATGATACTTGAAACACTGCCAAAATTGTAATGATGTATTAGAAACACATTTTTCTGGCACGAATAAAATTTCATTTATAAATTATGTCCGAAAAAAATAATGAAACGAAATGAACAACAAAAAGTAACAAGATTGTTCTGAATTTAAAACCTACAATAGTGCCAGTCCAGGACTGGAACCCTGGACCACCAACTATTATACTGTTGTTTTAACCAACTCGGTCACCTTACCAAAGGTAGTGCTTTGACCCTGTCACGTCACAGTTGTATGCAAAACGAATAGAAAGGGAGATTACTGTATGTACGAAAAACTACAATCGAATTATCTTGGATTTGCCTATAGTTTGTCAGGAATCCTTAATCAGAAGATTTTTTATTAAAAAAAAATTAAACAAGACTCCGAAATCCTACACAATGCAGTTAACTTTTATTTGCAATCCTGCTTTTGTTGTTTATTTGAATAAGCGTCGTTTTGTTTTCTGCTTCGAATGTAAGTCTTAATGATTGAAATTTATATTTAAGGTAACACCGACGGCACCTGTCATGACGTGGGCTATGTTCGCAATAGGTTGGCTTGAACTAAACAACACCTCTAAAGCAGAGCCACTCTTCAACAAGCAATTGCAGAATGTTATTCCTCCATTTAACGTGAGCTGATTTTTGTTTTATCTTCAATACGTTTCATCAGTTGGGAAAATATGTAATATCGAATTTTTACTTTAAACACAAACAATGTACGTATTGAACGTGTCACAACCCTTCAAGACCGACTGGTGCTATGACTGCGACTCAGTCATAGCTTGACAAAGGGACAAGTCGGTCTTGGAACGTTTTGACTCGAAGTAAAAATTCGATATCTATTTTGTTTTGTTAACATTATCGTCTGTACGTTTTTTTGTTCATTTTATTAACACAAACAAAGATAACTTTTTAATGTTTATGATTCTTAAGCATACATGAAATTGAAGACATCAACGTTTAGTTTTGAATGAATTTCCCTCTTATATTGATTTCTTTGTTTACATTATCATCTGTACGTCTATTTTTTATTATATTTATAAATATTTACTATATTTATTAACACAAAAGAAGTATTTTTTTGTAATTCATTCATGTGAGTATAATTGTAAGGCACCAAAGTTCAGTTTTGATTTAGTTTCCCCCTTAAGCTATTTTTTGTTTTGTTTACATCATCTGTACGTCTTATTATTATCATTAGCACAAAAGCAGATACATTTTTAATTGTTTATAATTCATTAGCATAATTGTAAGGTATCAAAGTTAAGTTTTAATGAGTTTTCCCCTTATATTAAATCATCATCCTTTCTTGAATAACTCAAAAAAGGAAGACAAAAACCTCTTGCCTGTCCTAGACATCTTAACATCTCCTATTGTCTAACTCTTTTTCTTATGTAGTTTTTGCCTTTTACCCATATTTCTTACGAACCCTTAAGTCCAATTTATTAAGTAAATAAATTTCCTTGTAAGTCCAGCAGTTTGTATATATTGGATTTAATAATATTTGCATAGTTAAGTATACATTAATGGAAAGGAATGTAGCTTAAGCCATACCTTACATGACAATTGTGTTATCTTGAATAATTCAAAAATACAAACTTAAATATTGTATAAATTATCTTAAAGAACACTTTTTTCTAATTTTTCTTGTACCATTTTACGTATAAGGTAAAGCCTCCTTAAACCAGCCGCTGTACGTATCCGGTTATCTTAGTAAATAACCAGTGAGTAAGGGGACATAACGATCATTTTCTTCGCGAAGTTGTCCCAGTAATTTTACTGTCTCCCAATCTAGAATATAATACGTCTCCAGCACACACGCATGCATGCACCCATAGGGAGATACTAGTATTAGCCAGGTGGCATAGGACTAGTAGCCAGTGTCTGTTAAGGCAGCTCCTGCAATTTCATCGCAAAGTGTTTAGAACAATGTATTATTCATTGTATATGTTAATTGTATTGATTGTATAAATGGTATGTCTATGTACTGTAAAGCGCTTTAGAGTGGCTTATTCTAGCTTCATAGGGCGCTTTATAAAATGTTGTATATTCCTTTATTTTAGTTACTGCTGCTGGGAACGAAACTGACTGGAATATCGAGCTGCACCTTATTTACATGTATAAACAAAAATGTTAACAAAGATAAAAGTTAAATATAATTACTTTACTAATTTTAATAAACCTTTTGTTTTTGTTTTTAGATATGGTCAAACCCCTCAGACAGTAAAGGAGGCCAGAATTTTTTGACTGGTATTGGAGGATACTTACAATCCCTCATTTATGGATATGGCGGTTTTAGAATATTTCAGGATAGACTTCAGCTCAATCCTGCCATGATACCAAACACGACGTCATTCAACCTGACTGGAATCGATTATCTTGGCGGGTCATTTGATTTCAATTTCTCAGACAATTACATGCAGATAAACCAGACCTCATCAGCCGCAGAAGACATGAAGATTGTTATATCCTCCAACGGTCAAACTGAGACGCTGCACGTCGGGACGGTGGTCCAGTATCCCAGGTGTAAAGCCTATTTGATGCCTGTATGATATCAAAATGTAATGGAGTCAATACAATAAAATATTCTCTAGATATATGCTTGCTTCATTCATGATTATTGGTAAACTTAACTGATTCATTTACGAAACTTACCGTGATATTTTTCTGAACGTTTTCATGTACGAAATTTGAAATTAAAAAAGTTGAAGATGACGTAAAATGGTGAGGACCTGTTAAGATGTAACATAAAGGATATAATTCAATGCAACTTAAGTTTCATGTTTACCAACAGATCGATCTGCAAGATGCAAACCAAACAGGCCACACCATCAAATCATTTGTACTGTTTTAATACAATATGATTGAACACTAAGGCATTCAGTAAGCCTGCTTTCTGCGGTCCATATGACTTTTTAATGTAAAACCTGTTGGTCATCAAAATAAGTTTTTTAAGTCATTTAGCAAGATGGGGTATGAACGTCAACTTATATTTATGCCAGTGCTATTTTGATTACATTCTTAAATATCGGACGTGTCGAAGTCTCATACAACAGTAGATGCCTGAGCATGTGACGTCATCACTCACACTGTGACGCTGTCCTTGTAAGGTTAATAGCTATTTCGTACTGATTATAAATTTAAAACATAGATCTAAATGCATGTTCATTTCAAGAAATTTGAAAACAATCTATAAATGGTACTACTTTCCGCTATAACCTGCTGACGTATTCATACACCAACTGGAAATATTATGGAAAATACACCGCCGAATTTTAGCAGGTGTAAATATGACGTCGTCAACACTTAGGTACATCTATATATGAAATAGGTTGTTTTTATGACGAGGAGTCTGCATAGAATTACATGAAATAAGTGGTATATTTTTATATGTGTCAATCGTTTCTATGTTGTACATTTCGTGGTATATATATATGTAGTATTTTGTTTATCTGACCTATTCGACTATTTAGCTTATTAGTACCTGGTACATTTGTTCTGTTTGATAAATATCTGCTTAGATCTAACTATAGTCTATGTATACTAGTATATATCAGACGACAAAACACCTGACACTGTTTCCGTCGGGTGTATACTCATCAAAGGAATGTGATGATCACACGAACACAACAAAACTATTCCTGTTGTTGTTCAGCTATTGAATGATGGAATAGTCAACTACAGGAAAGTTTACCATAAGTTTGAAATGTGTAGACTATGGTATAACTTAAAATTTACCAATGATGATAGATTACTGAAAAAAAATATCCATAACTGGTCTCTTACGGTCAGCCGCTGTTGGGAAAAGAGAGTTATCAAACTGATGAAAGGACCCTGGAACGATAACACCATTAAACTCTGTAAAGCAAGTATCATTTTACTAGTGCGGATAATAAAAAGTGGTGTAGATATTTACATAATGACCGTAATTGTGATAACAACAATAAGTTGGGAACATACGGATTGTAAAAAAATAGTAATTTTGCAGAAACGTATGCCTCGAGTATTATTGATTTCAGGCGTTAGCTAAATTTCGCAGTGGTGATTTAAAGCTGAATATTGAAACTGGTCGGTATTCTCGCAATTAATATGCTTAGAGGTAAGGCTTTGTACATTCTGTAAGTTAAACTGTATTGAAGACGAATGACATTGTATGTGATTTTTACTAAGATATAAGAGCTAATCTTTTACAACAGCTGAACATATTGTTCCAGGCTTTAACTATTTAAACACTAAACAGAAAATTGTTGTTTTAATCAATTAACCTAATTTTCAATATGTCTTGGCGAGCAAAGTTCATAATTTAGATTGGGAAAGGAATTAATATAAGCTCCAAGCTTGTTTTCCCATCCCATATTTACAGTTGTATTTGTAATATTGTTGATTATATTGAATAAAATATTGTTTAAACTAATTTAGATTGTAGAAGAATGTGTTTATTATACAGGTTATATAGGTTAGACTTAATATATTGAAAACACATTCTTTTACAATCTTAATTATGAACTGTGCTCGCCAAGACATATTTAAAATTAGGTTAATTCATTAAAACAATAATTTTCTGTTCAGTGTTTAAATAGTTAAAACCTGGAACAATCTGTTCTGAACTAGTTTTTAGAGTTAATAAATTAGGTCGTCCCGTAAGCCTTAGTAGGCTGGGATTCAATTATATATTGTTTGTGCATTTTTAGATCATGCTTGTATGTACATGTGATGTATGTCCTTTATGCAAAATTGACATGTGATACTTTTAATAAAATAGATTTATGCAATATTGATTGACATGTGAAACTTTTTATAAAATAATCTGTATTGTACTACAGTTAAGTGTTTGTTCGGAAGGCAATGTTCAATGACATGATGAACTGAGACGAAAGGGATAGCTTGGTAAACAGGGACGATGCCTACTGTCCAAGGTTAGCATGCCTGGGTAGGGCTGGTGTGACACTATCAGCGACACATTACAGTCAGTTAACGGTATCCTGACGGCAGGTCTACAATAAAACGGAAAGGGAAAACTGTCGACAGTAAGTAACGTTATACTAACGTGTTTGTTTCTCGAGTATCAAGGAAGGAAGTTTTGATAATTACTAAAATAATGTAAGGAATATTTGATAAATAACAAATTTCCTTTTGATTGTATAATATTTACTAGCTAGGATACAGTTATATTCCTTTTAAGGACACCCGTACCACTGCCAAAAATGTATCCACACTTTTTCTTTGTTGTGTGGCATGGTCTGTGATTTATCTGGGACTGAGACTGCTTTCTTTCTGATCTCGTGAATTTCCTACCTTCTTTGGTTTCCGTATCTTTCCGGTGTTCACAAAGGCGGACCCAAAATCGCCTTCCAGTCTCTCCAATAGTGGGTCAGTTCTAAATCGAGATGAGGGAGCTCAAAGACTCTCGCATATCTATGACCAAGTATTAAACAAAGCGTAGACGAATCGAGTCATTTCGGTACATTTATAACAGTTTTTGTACATACGCTTACAGCGTAGCCGAATCGATGAAGGTGACAGTGTACATATCGTGCTGGTCATCGAAACGTCACATGCAATCTTATTGATTGTGTAAAAAGAACCTCTCATAGTACCCACGCTTTGAACAAAAAATCCCGGCATTACAACTGCTTTGATAAAGACATATTTATGAAAGAAAATCATACCTTGCAGGACTTTAATGAAAAAAAGTAATTATGATGCATTAAACAAAGTACAATCAACAACAGTGTTCTGAGTGTAGAAATGAAGGATTCGAACCCTGGACGCTGTTGCTTTAACTGAATGAGATAACTGGTAAACAAAAGTGTTCTTGCCAAACTGTGCTACAGTTATCTCCACAAAACAAAAATAATGAGAAGTCACTGTAAATACGAAAAACCAATGGGGCAAGAAATATTAAATATTAATCTGCTCATATTTCAGTTATGTCTCATTATTCATTGTAGAGTCCATATTATCTTATACACAGGTCATGAATAACATTAACGGACGAATGGTTTTAATTGTGCTGGCATTTTTAAGCTTGGATATTGGTATAAGCTTAGGCAATGGTACCAACAATACAGAGGAAGCTGATCATCATGACGATCACGTGACTTTGTGGCACGGACCTTCGACGGTGATAATAAAGGACACCAAAAGGCCATACCCAGCATTCCTCGACCAGGACGTCACTATTTTATCCGTTGACAGGTATTTACGTTATACGCAATAATTTGAATAAAACTAAAATAGACAAAATTAAAATAGAGAGTTGATTGCAATACCTTCAATTCACACACAAAATTGGAACTATGAAAAGATAACAACTCCAAGGAGACTGCAAAATGGAAGAACATTTACTATAAAACCCTACAAAGCCGAAAATAACAATAAGGATAAAATGCATTCTTTAAGGAATAATTAGAATTGTTTAGGGGGTTAAACGGTATACAGTATAACGAAAAACATTTTTCAGTATATATCTAATAACATGATCCTTATTATCTAATTTAGAAAGACAGTCAACACTTTTAAGTTCATGGTATATGAATATTATTTGATTGTATAGAAGAAGAAAAAAATCGCTGTAATCTATTTGCCTAACAACTTCAACCATTCAGAAGTTAGAAACACAAATACCGCGCTAAACATTGAGTTAAACGACGTCATCACTGTTTTGGTATGTTCTTCTTTTCCAAATGACACACTATAGCTTAAAAATGGTGTATCATTTCATTTGGTGAATAGACGAAAAATAAACAATGGTATCTAAGTACACCAATAAAATATTCAATTAAATGTTACATTTTATTTATCAATTGATAATACCACATTGACAAAACAGTTATATGAATGCATATCCTTAAATTGATAAATGAATATAAGGCTATATGTAAATTCTATACTATTGAACAGGTTTTAAACATGATAACTTTTTTTGCATCTAGTTTACCCGATGCTGCCTCAATGCCGACCATTGGTAACGGTTACCTAGCAACACTTGTACATAGCGACACCATGTATATGAATGGTGTGTACAATGGCCCAAACGGCACGAGTCATAGAGCTAGACTACGGTCAACATCCTCCATCAACATAACGGATTTCTCCTTCCCGGTAACTGGCCGGAAATACTCACTTGACGTCGGCAGAGGTATAGTAAATCCTGAAATGTAAACATTACTTTGAAAAAAGAAGTTATTAAATAAAGTTATCAAACGGCATGCATATGCATCCTCGATACTATAGGTGTTACGCTGAGTAACTTTCGCTCTTTGCACCACTGGAATATGTCATAGCAAAACTGAAGGCATGCGTCTAGCTTTTTCGTTGGTCTTAGGAGAAAAAAACCGCCTGACCAATCCCTAGGCTGCTATTTTTCCTTTGAAGATTACAGAGGAGCGACACAAAACTTCAAAGCCAGCCAATTTTATTGTTACACGGTTACACAGTGCAGAGAGCGTAAATGAGTATCGAGGGTGAGGCTAAATGCAAAACAGCTGTATGATGCAGTGTGTTACATACTGTATCATGTTTTACATACTGTATCTATAACCATTTTTTAAAGTAGTAATCACCTATGTTGCTTAGTTCTTCTTTCATGAGATCTCCGCTTCTTAGTTGCTCGTGACATAATCACACACTCTTATTGTAATTTATAGATTGATAAAAATACGAGATATTTAAAAAACAAGTAATTTGAATCTATCCCGAACTATAAACTATCTCTCTTCTGTATATGATCCATCAGTTTGGTATGAACACAAACAGGAATTGAAAACTTATTTTGCGAGAATTCCAAAACGTATATTTCCTTTGTCAATCAAAGAGTGCAAATGGCCGGTGTCCCGACTCTTAACCACTGAAAACAACTCACTAAGACACAGTGTGCCGAATCAGTAAAGTCAGCTGTCAAAATTCATAGAGACATTTCGCCCATTGGAACTCTATTATTGCAGACAGTCAGGGGGACAAGTTACATGTTCACCCATTCCGCCTATTAGTGGATGCTAAAATGGGGCCAACAATCACATCATTAAGCCCATGCGACAACAAAACACCATCAATCCACTATTGATTGCACAAGAAAGATGTAACAGCTGCAACCTTACATACATAGGCGAAACTGGCTGGAAATTTGGGACACGCCTAAAAGAATATCAGAAAGACGTTGAACTATGAAACAGCAAAGTCTACACTAGAAATACAAAGAAGGCATCAGAGAAACAACACAATAATTCAGCCATTACAGACAATGATAGCACAAACACACCAGCATTATAGACTGGAACACCACCTTGAAAGGGCTTGAAAGGGAGGGGGCAGCTGAGTCATCTTTATGAGACCATATTAAAAATGAATTTGAACAGCTGACTTTACTGATTCGGCACACTGTGGCTTAGTGAGCTGTTTTCAGCGGGTTGGAGTCGAAACACCGGTCATTTGCATTCTGTGCTTGACAAAGGAAACAGGCGTTTTCGAAAGCTCGCAATACAAGTTTTCAATTGCTGTTTGTGTTCAAAATAAATTCAGTCTTTATAAACTATCACTTTCAGTAAAATTAGTAAAAATATTTACCTATTTGATTTTTATTTTACCCTTTAAAACAGAAATATTGTAATATTGATGCATGTGTTTCATGCCCCAAGTTAATGTGAAGTTACTGCATGGCAAGGCTCAGATCAGTATGTAGTCTTCCAGAATTCTTTCTTCAAGTAATTATTCGCGTGTGGATATTTTCGCGGAAATTTACTCAACGCGAAAAAAGCGAAAAATCCACACCGCGAAAATTTTCTCTTTTGCAACAACCATAATGATAGATTGGTTTGGATGCAGGTATGTACATTGAGGAGTATACGTCCGATGACGTCAGAGTAGAAATGAACATGTACGCCCACCAGTTGTTGAACCGTCTGTTGGTAACCGAGATCTCTGTGGTCAATAATGGTCATCTTTCTGTACATATGAACCTGTCACAGAACATCGGCCTCCCCAGTGAAGATCTTTCCTTCCAAACAGCCGACAGAGAGGTTATAAGCCAATTCCGGTAGAGTTGTTTTTTTTGCTGTGAATATTTTAAATATTTGATACGCAACAAGTACGGCATCCTTTCTTTCTATGCTTACTGACGCCCTTTAACGATGTGTGGTAATAATTATTCTCTTTATTTCCTCCGAATCGAAGATCCACAAACAGAACAATCATTGAAAATTGACACAGTAAAGTAGGTGTTATATGACAATAAACAAACTGAAATTCAAACAATAATTGTATTGCAAATTACGGTTGATTCTAGAGTTAACTACCCTTTGTGTCTCTACGCTCCTTAAATTATCTTAAGTTAGAGAAAAAAAATGACCTACATACGAGATACAACAAGGGAAGAATAATACAATTGACATATTTTAAAGTAATTTAAGATGCCCTGTAAAGATTTGTGGTAATAATGTATAACTGAAATAAAAAAAAAATAACACAAATTCACAAGTATAAACATTTCAGAAGTGTTATGCTATTATTTCAACAAATCTTGTTTTATTTCGTGAACCTTCCGGAAGATGGATAAACTCAGTTTGTAGATTTCTGTGAATGATATCCTTAGTTAATACAAATATGTATTCATATAGATAATAAAGATTAACATGAAAACTGCTACTGTACATATATATTTTTTAATTATAGTAATCGACTCATAGTTAAAGAGTGTTCGGCTTAGGCCAAAACATGAATATTTCAGGTAACATGACTGAAAAGATAGGGGAAGGTTGTTCGGGATTTATTTCAATTTTAATTTTGTTTTGAAGGGGTGGGGGCTAATTTACGGAATTACAAAAATAAACAAGCATTGTTTAGGTCTTTACTATAATAATGTGGTATTTAAATTTGGTGTTGCTACCTGCCTATGGAATAGAGTTGGTATACATCAGTTTGTTTGCATCCGGTGAACAAGTTATCCCAACACTTGATCGAGTGCGTCGAGTGAGATAAAACTGTCATGGTCGGAGGTTAAAGCTTGGGTAGGTGACAGGTACCTAAAACATCCATATTTTTTCCCCTTATAGTGAAAACCCTTCCCTTAAATGAAATACTATAGTTATAATATGATATTCTTTTTGTTAATGACCAATTCTTTTTCTAATAAATGCATGTCCCGAAGTAGTAGAATGAAATATATCAAAAATACCAGAGCGTCAATACACATGATTAAATAAGAATTTTAATGATGTCTCTAAACTTAACAGGAAGGACTATGGCAACACAAACGAAGCTGAGTTTGATACAGCCGGGACGATACCTCTCGTGTCTTTATCTACGTGGGTACCTGATACTATTACAGTGGAGGCCGGGGGAAACGTCAGATATTTATTTCAGACCTGTGTACAACCGTACGAAAACGGAGAGTATTTTATGAAGGGTAAGATTCTTTAACAACTGAAAGCAGTAAGAACGAAGTATAAACTCAACGACACGTATCGATACATTTTAAATCTGCGATATTTTAATAATTATTAAAAATTGAAAAAATAGTCCTATCCTGGGATTAAAATAACCATCCCGAAAAAATTACCGCTAAAATGTTGCACTTCGATACATTTAAGAATAATGAAATTTTAACTAATATATTACAAATGTAAAGGTCTTAAGACTTCTATGAATCTTACAGGTTTCTGGCTTATACAGATATTTAGTTTACGCAGGTTTGTTTTTACAGGTTTTTGAATTACATGTTACTTGTATATACAGGTATCTGGTTTTCTTCAGTTTTCTGCTTTATGCAGGTTAATTGTTTATGAAGTTTTTTTTATACAGGTTCACGTATATGGTATTCTTCACATTTCTAGTAATACAGGTGTCTGATAATACATGTGTCTGGTTTATAAGCTTTCTGGTTGACACAATTATCCTGTGAATGTGTTTTTGTTCATTCCATCCGCGATACTCCAGGGGTTACGTTCACTTTAGCTCCTTGCACCCCTGGAATATGTCATAACAAAATCTAAGACTAAGTGTGCAACACCTTGCCCTTTGATGTGCATCAAAAGAACCTCTCGGTCGCGTAGCTGTAAAAATTGACTGGCTTTGAAGCCGGGTGTCGCTCCTCTCTCATCTTCGAAGGATCGGTATCCACCTAACGATTGGTAAGATTTCTTTTACCTGTATGTTTCAGTGAGGTAGCACTATAAAGCCGGCATCAGTTTCGCGCTATCACAAGGAGACAAACACGAACATATCGCAGCCTCCCAAAATACACACACATACACTACACGCATGCATCTTGCACACAGGGGAGGCCGTCCTTAAATGACCTTAGCTGTTAATAGGACGTTAAACAAAATCAAACAAACAAACAAAAATCTTTTACCTGAGACCAATCAAATAGCTAGCCGCGTACCTTCAATTTGCTATGACATAACCTAGGAAGCAGAGAACAAGGTCAGCGTTACCCCTGGAATATCGAGGATAAACATGTAGGGCTTAGATTCTGTAACATAATCCAAACCGAGGCGTAAGACGAGGCTGGGATGTTACAGAATCTTAGCCCTCGACTGAGATAACCCGATCTCGCTCAGTTACATGTAATAAAAAAAAATATGTCGCACATCTTAGTTCGAAAAAAACTGTTCAATTTTGCTAAAGACTTCAAGTATCCCGTCCGGGGCCTCAACTTAATAAAGCCTCTACACTAAAAAAGCTACATTTGAATACTTCCGCGTAAAAATCTAGTTCGTCTTTACAACGAAGACAACGTATTTTAAAGTGTAAACTGTATTTTATCTACAACATCAGATATCTAACTACATAAAGTGCATCAAAACAAAACATATAACAACAAAACAGAATATGTTTAATGCAGTTGTCAATTTTGAGCCGTTTACGCGCGGATGAATACGTCGCTGTGTAAAAATTCCGCGCAATGTCACGTAAAGGTACAAGACAGATCGGACGAGATAGAAAAATCTAGCATGGGGTATGACGTGGGATATCTCTGTATAAGGTTCGAGAAAACATTATCTTGATTGCAACAAAAACTACGGTTCCGTAATTTGGTAAAACAATTCGTTAAAATATGTATTTTGAAACGCATGAGATCACACAAAATAATTGCTTTTGTTTTAATTTTTTAAATGAGAATATATACGAAAGTGAAGCTGTTAGCATGACGTTTGCTGAACACATAAACTTCAGGTCTACATACAGGTCTGACATAGTCTAAACTTATCGTTACCTTGCTTTTATAAAATTTATATGAGTATCATACTCAGTACTCCGATACTCCAGGGGTTACCCTTACTTTCGCTCTCTGCAGCCCTGGACTATGTCATAGCAAAATTGAAGGCATACGGCTATCTATTTGATTGGTCTCAGTTGAAAAAAAAGACCAATCGCATGCTCGATACCTGTCCTTCGAAGATTACGAAGAAGCGACACCGGACTTCAAAGCCAGTAAATTTTACCGTTATGCGACCGCAGGATTCTTTTAATGTACATCAAAGAATCCAACTAGTCTTCTCGTCTTATTCACAAGGTGGCACACACTTGGCCCTCGATCTTGCTATGACATATTCCAGGTATACAGAGAGCGAAAGTGAGCCTAACCCATGCATGAAATATCGAGGATGTATGAGTATGAGATGTAATAAGTCACGTAAACTATTTTGGTTTAATATCAAAAGTATTGCAATTAATTAATTTATCTTTTCTGAAAACTTCCCAGGTATTGATTATTTCTTCAATGGTACATTGAGGAGCTCCCACGAGCAGAAATGGGAAGAGATCTGGCGTAAAGGCCGGATAGACATGGATGGTGACGTAAACATTAGTAGAATCAACTACGCAGCCTTGTACTATCTTCTCAGTGAGGTTCCTCGAGACGAGAGTTACGGCCCTTTCTTAGGAATCTCACCAGGGGGATTAGCGCACGGTGCTTTACATAAGGTACCGTCATCCTTTGTCATTCGTAATTTATTTCTGACAGAAAATACCAGAACCATTCAAATAAAGAACATGTGCATGGATTTTACTTTACAAATCTAATATACAAGAACAATAGCATCAGCTAATATCTATTTCATAAACGCCTTTTTCTTAACTCATTAACTGAAATTTCATAATGAACTTTTCCAACCTTTAAATTGGAAGAGTTTAAATGTGTTTTCAAGGGTAAATGAGTTAATTAAGTGTAATGAGAATGTGATGTTCATTTCTCATATCGGATTTTTCTTAATATCACATAAATATATTATTCTATTAAATAGCGTAGAATTTGAAATAGATTTCAGTAATTTTAACGATGAAACATGTAATTTTATGACAAACAAAATAATTTACCTGCCAGTAAGTCCCCGGCTGTATCTTCTATTATTATTGATACAAATTTGCATATAAAAATAATCTAATTATTGCAAAATCATAATATATATTTTCTCTGTTTTCATAACAAACACCCAAATACTAACGATTGATTTTCTTATCTAACTTTCATGAAAATAGGGTAAATAATTAACACCCAAAGAACTACTCTTGCTTACAACATACAATACAGTATATCATTTAGCTTTGATAAATAATATCTGAATAGAAAACCATACCTTGTGGGACTTTAATCGTAAGCAATAATAAAGGTAAAACAGGGGGGNGTGGGGCAAGGATAGTTGCCCCACTAGATTCTTAAAAGTATTTACCTTTAAGCAATGAGAGTTTTTCCTTAATTTTCATCAAGATGTGAAATATGCTAACTTTATTTCTTTTTATCAAGGACTACCAAGGACATATCTTCTGGGACCAAGAAACATGGATGTTCCCTCCGATACTAGCTTTGCACAGCGATAAGGGAAAGAAAGTGCTCGAAACACGAATAAAGAAACATGCGTCAGCTAAACAAATTGCAAAACTGAGGGGTTATGAAGGCGCAATGTACCCTTGGGAAAGCGCATATACTGGTAAAACTATACTCATGCTTTTAGATAAAATGAATTCTTCCTGTATGGAATTTGACAAATATATCCGATGCTAATCTGAAGGAAAAAGAACTTTATAATATAACAACTGGCTGTTATTAAACAAGTATTTATAACAGACAGCTGATTTCTAAGGCAGGTTTTACTTTTTCTCTTAAAATAACATTAAGTTTGGGAATGCATACCATTACTCCAATTTTCTGTTTCGAAGAAATATATAAAAAATAGACCTATTGTATAAGAGGTACATCCGTATATTTACATTATGATTTTTAGTTATTATTGACTTAAATGTTGAAGTGTATGTGTCGTCAGTGCAAACGAGATTCCTGGAACAGCCTCACGTCACGAAAATGTTTGCTTCTAACGGTTGTCTCGTGTTATTCGAGGCGAGAGGAGAAGCTTCAAAGTGACTGTGATCAATTTGCATTCATAGCTCTATGGACGTATTTTCTTCTGCTTATGCTTATAGAGGAACCTGTAGTGGAATGTTAATATATTGAATTGGACTTCAAGTTTCCCAAATGACTTAGGTTTTTTTTCATGTTACCTAGAAGAAAACGACACCGAAGGTGATGACGTCATATACATACAAGTTCAGTGAGGATATTTGCAATTCTAACGTCTGATTAGTTGAAGCCAGTGATCGGTGATAAAAAACAGCGGATTTATTGAAAGTGCTCACAGAATTTTCGGCATCATACCATATAACCTCCAAAAAATAATCTCGATTGTACATTAAATATCTTTACTTTCTCCATTTCTTACTTTTCTGAAAAAATTGTGATATGCAGCAATTCGACCGTTTTGTCGTATGTTTTTGTGTTGATATGTCTGTTAAATGAGCACCACTTACTAATAAATCAACAAACTTTAATGATTCGGGATTGCTTTTTGTTTCAAAATAGAACTCTGGATCACTTAAATAAAATATACAACCTTATTTTTATTAAATGTATATTCCAATTTGTAGCAAAAAAGGAAACTTTTACCATGTAAACACATGTTCGATACATTTATCTAAAACTAATTACTGAATTGTACAGGTCTCGAAGTCTGTCCCCTGGCACAATATTCGGATTATGAACAACACATCACTGGCGATATAGCGCTTGCTTTCAAGCAATACGTAATGATGACGCGAGACAAGCATTTCCTCGACAGTGAGGGTGCAGCTGACGTCATCACAGATATAGCCTCGTTCTGGATGTCGCGAATGACTTATAATCAGGATGAGGATCGCTATGAAATCAACGGTTAGTTTGACATGTCTTGGCAAATAGAGACATTTTGATTTTATTGTCTGATATCAAGTTATTTTCATTCTTCTCGAATGTTAAGTACGAATGTATGATATTAATCCACATATAAAACTAGGATTTAAGAGATATCAATTGCATATTTCTTAAAAACACTTTACAGTATTGATATTGTTTTTAGATTATTTCGGCTGTGGGATGTCCATGGTGTGTTTCCCTGTTGTTTTAGCTGATGCTGTTGTCTTTCCATATCCATGGTGTGTTTCCCTGTTGTTTTAGCTGATGCTGTTGTCTTTCCATGTCTATGGTGTGTTTCCCTGTTGTTTTAGCTGATGCTGTTGTCTTTCTATGTCTATGGTGTGTTTCCCTGTTGTTTTAGCTGATGCTGTTGTCTTTCTATGTCTATGGTGTGTTTCCCTGTTGTTTTAGCTGATGCTGTTGTCTTTCTATGTCTATGGTGTGTTTCCCTGTTGTTTTAGCTGATGCTGTTGTCTTTCTATGTCTATGGTGTGTTTCCCTGTTGTTTTAGCTGATGCTGTTGTCTTTCTATGTCTATGGTGTGTTTCCCTGTTGTTTTAGCTGATGCTGTTGTCTTTCTATGTCTATGGTGTGTTTCCCTGTTGTTTTAGCTGATGCTGTTGTCTTTCTATGTCTATGGTGTGTTTCCCTGTTGTTTTAGCTGATGCTGTTGTCTTTCTATGTCTATGGTGTGTTTCCCTGTTGTTTTAGCTGATGCTGTTGTCTTTCTATGTCTATGGTGTGTTTCCCTGTTGTTTTAGCTGATGCTGTTGTCTTTCTATGTCTATGGTGTGTTTCCCTGTTGTTTTAGCTGATGCTGTTGTCTTTCTATGTCTATGGTGTGTTTCCCTGTTGTTTTAGCTGATGCTGTTGTCTTACCATGTCTGTTCGAGGTTCTCATTTTGTCTCCCTGTGTATTGACGCCGTGGAACAATTTTTTTTTTTTGTATTTGACTTATCAATTATCAAAGATCGCATGGTCTCGAATACTTCATACTGACATATAAGGTGTATAAAAAAGTATAGATTTCATACAAAAAATAGAGTAATGCCACGATATACTGACAACCTTTGTCGAGAGAAATTTTGTTGATTTAAGGGATATGGCGATAAATTGAGATAAATGTACTATGTATGCTCATCACCATGTATAAAGTGATTCTTAAGAAAACAAAAAAGGGACATAGATATATGTTGACGGTAAACGAGGTGGCAATGAAACGAGGGGCTATATATCGAGGTTTTACTTTATATTATAAAATATCATTGAAATTGTATCGCATTGTAATTATGATTTGTATTGTAATTATGTATTGTAATTATGTATATGTGTTGTATAGTATTGATGTATTGTGTTATATTGTATTGTCGTAGACGTAATGCCCCCAGATGAGTACCACTACCCCGTCAACAACTCTGTCTACACAAACAGTGTGGCGAAGATCAGTCTGCTCCTACCCAAGTACGCCCTTCCGCTGATAAACAGGAAGCCAGACCCACGGTTCGAAGATATTGCAAATAAAACGTTTATACCCTTTAACGACACTGGTAAATGGCACCCAGAGTATGATGGGTACACACAAGGTAAGTTTTATTATAATTCATGTGAACTTAAATAAAAATAGAACGATATACCTTCCTATAATTTAAGTATCATGTTTCGGGATCAGTAAATATTAAAAAAAGTGTGTCGCAAAACAGTTTTTGTGAAATATTGATGTTAATTATACCTTAGTATCAATTCCTAAAATGTTTGTTGAGTTTTCATATATAAATATCATATTTTTGTTCAATGACAACATGATGTTTCCAGCGCGTGGTTTTATAAATAAATACTATCATGGTCACGAAGGCTCTTGAACATGTGTAACTGTACCCTGAAAGGGGCACTTTGGGTGTTTAGCAAATAATGGGGATAACAAGGAATACAGACAGAAAATGGTATGTCCAAATTAAAGCGTCGCATGATTTCCAAACTTAAACTGTCCGTGTAATCATTATCAGTAACCAATGAAGACGTGAAGATGATGTACAGATGTACACATTTTTGGGCTGCTTTCCCACCAGTGTCCTGGTTTGGGTACTGTCCCGTTTTGGGTACACTAACGCTACAAGGCAGGCTTATATGTTAAAACAGAAATGTTTGCAGGTCTATACAGCTAATTGCTTGCTGAAATAGAGTAACAAGATCATTTTATCATACCTCAAATACAATGTTGACATGTACTATTATGTCTATTTCATCGTATTTAATATAACTCAAAGTGACACTAGTCTCGGCCGCGACAATTATGTACCATGTACGAACATTGGGAGAGCAATAATCAGTTACCTTATGTTAATTTCTATGTTTTGCGGTTGCACTTCAAACAATTTGTTCGCGAGAATATGTTTCACGAAACTGACATTACGATTGGATACAAATTCGCCAGATTGATTTTGCGGTTCATATTTCACGCAAAATAAAAGTAAAATTTGTACCAAAAAGCGGCAACATACTCGAAACATGTATTTTACTCATACTTGTCCTTCCTCACATGCTTAACATATTGCGGGCATATAATGTTGTGCATTTGGTTTTCGAAAATATATCTGCCATGTACTGTTTCTGTAGATGAAACTGTCAAGCAAGCAGATGTAGTACTTCTGGGATTCCCTTTGATGGTCGATTTGTCAGAAGAAATTAGGAAAAACGATTTGGAAATTTACGAAAAGGTATAGATATTGTGTATATTTATGTTGACATTATATTATATATCCTCGGCATACCCATGTGAACAATCTCAGGAAACATTTTATTAAGTCATCATTCTTATAATACTAAACAAAAAAAGTATACTTGATTATAACCATGCTAAAAAGTTTTAATACAAATTCATTGTTATTTTGTATATTTCTATGGGTTGTTTTATTATCAAATGAAAAAGGAAACGAATTTTACAGCAGGTTCGAAATTACGATTTTTTTTTATTTCATTTGTAACTTTTCCAATTTATCTGAAACGTAATATATGTTACAATAATACACTTAATTTAATACTCTCGTACATTTTTTTCATCATTTCTGCGTCAGGTTACACCAGGAGGACCCGCCATGACTTGGGGAATGTTTGCAATAGGCTGGCTCGAATTGAATGAAATAGCTAAAGCAGAAAGGCTGTTTAAAAAGCAATTTATTAACGTTGTTCCACCGTTTAATGTAAGTTTCTCAAATGTAATCATCATGTGATGTTTTCTCCAATTTTCAATTTAATTTTACATTCATTATATTTCTGAGAGCCACCTGATTCATAGGTTAAATGTCAAACAATGAAATCATGTAGTAAAAGTACAAGAAATTATGCATACAAATATAAATCAATTAAGAGGAGAGTGAGCTTACAAAATACATTTAAGGATTGGATCCTGTTTTGTTGAGGTTTATGGGTTATACACCTTAATGGGTCTTGAGACAAATTCAATATAAACTGCTTCGCAGTTCATAACATCCGTCACAAGGCCCATTGAGGTTTATACCACATACACCTCAACAAAACAGGATTATATCCTTTACATTTGGTGCGATATTAATATTTTTTGGATAATTACCAAAATATCGGTCTTGTGCATGTCATTGAAAAATAATCTTTAAAATGTTTAGTAGGTAAATTGAGTCCAAGTTCAGTAGAAATGTAAATATGAGTAGTTGTCCATATCAGACATTGATTTCTGTACGTTAACTCGTTGCACATCAGAAATATTTTCCGAGATTACACAATTCCTTTTCATTATTAGCAGTCAATAGTGTCGTAAACTTAAAGTATTTGGACTTCTAGCTGTAATAGAATCGCTTGATATATTTACATCTCAGGTCTTGATAGAATTGATAATACAAAAAACCTGTAATTCATTTCTTTTAATTATCGGATTATTTTCGTCATCTTTCCGGAAACAATTGATACTATGAAATAACAAAACAAAAGAAGATTACTAAACAATGGTATAACTATATGAAATACAGGTATACATATGTTATATAAGTATAATTTCATAAACAAGGCTAGCCTAGTTGGCTGCACCTGATAAGAATCAATTTAAAAAAAACGAATACTTATACGACAGCATCATCATTCGTTGTTTAGATCTGGTCAGAGGTCGAAAATGGCGGAGGAGCCAGGAATTTCCTCACCGGTATCGGCGGGTACCTTCAGTCCCTCATTTTCGGCTATGGCGGATTTAGAATCTTTGAAGACAGGCTTCAGTTTGATCCCACTCTGCCACCAGACATCTCTACGTTCAATTTGACTGGGATTGACTACCTTGACGGGTCGTTCGATTTCCATTTTGCGGAAACTCACATGTCTGTTAAACAAACTAAAGTTGCCATGGGTGCTATGAACTTGACAGTGACCTCAAGCGGCCAGACTGAGACGCTGGACGTCGGTGTGTGGGTTCAATACCCTAGAGATAAAGCATACTTGGTGCTTGGCTGATCGACAAAGTCTGATCGAACAATATTATTGTATTATTATTCCTTTGCCGTAATAAATATTCATATATATGGTTTTGTGGGATTTTATTTTGTTTTGAGATTGAACGAAACATTGTCTTATTCAACATTTCTATTGTTTAGAATCTATTTTACAGTTATTAATTTATATTTTCGTGAGCAAATCGATGCAGATTTTACTGATTGTATTTATTTGGTAAAGGTATCATTTTTTGAACAAGTTTTATAGCTCAATGCAATTAGAACCGGGCTCACATTCATGAAAACTTTCTTGTTGTTACTTAATGAATATATCTTGTTTTGTCAATTATTTGGAAACATTTTGAAGAAGCCAAAAACTGTTTTCAATGTTTACATTTGACGTTTCGATCGTTTGACATGATTTAAGCGAGTTACAAGAAAGTTGGTTTGAGCACAGAATCCATGCTTGAGCATGAGAACGGGTTCATGAATACACGCCCAAATGATTATTATGCTAGATGAAGGAATGTAGCAATAACATCGTATGCTCGCATTATATTTATGTTGACTTTTTAAAACAAATCCATGCATAAAAGATTTTCTGTTTCATAGACATGGTTTTTATTAAAATTAAAACCATGGATTGCAGCATATTTCTAGATAAAATAAACCTTTGTTCGCTTCATTAATTACAGTATTAAGAATTCCCTTAAACAATGATGCAGTTAAAAAGACCGAGAATAACGATATTTTCGAACACCGTTTACATTAGACCCCCCCCCCCCACTCTTTAAATAACGGTGTATGCAGCTTAATTCGATACCAACATTGAAATCAAGGTCAATTAACAATTAGAACTTCTGTAGTTATGGCAACACGTACGAATAAAACAGGATGTTTGTCGTAGCTGACTTGTCAAGGTTAGAGTTCAAACGTTAGGGGCAGATAGATATTTGTAATGCTAATGCGTCTCGGCAATATCAGATCTGTGATGGTCTGTCACCAATAGCCCAGTTTCTTTGCATCTTCGCTAGCCAAGTGTGCGCTTCGTATACTCTCCACTTACTTTTGGCGGATAAAGTCATGTTTTCTTAATTCCCTCTACTGCCACCTATCGGATATACCGAGTTATCGCTATTCTCCCAAAAAACTTTTAACCAATCAGGATGACCGTTACATACACACTCAATCGGCGTGTTGACATAAGCACGTGAATGACGAGGCGGGGTATTAATGACAGAGCAATATGAAAACAATCCAAAGGCAGCACACATATTTTTTCCAGGTCATGCTTAACTTGTGGCACATAGTCAAGGATTTCCACCAATTGATTTAACACTCCAAACGCTTCCCTAAAGATCGCCCGCCTATTTTTTTTGGCAAAACACTCTGACATAAACTCGGGGCCTGCTGGTTGGATATTTAGATATTTCATGACTGACAGGAAATGGACGCTACACTTTCTTTTTAAGACATACATAGTTTGATGCCCAATTCATATACACATTCATACCACGAGCATTCAAGCTCTCAAAATGGTACATGTTGTTACATTAACAACAATGAAATAATTCTGTTTACATAATAAAATACAGTCACATAATTTTGTCTTGCAAAGCACGAGATATGCAAATGAGTTTATACCAAGGTTTCCGATTTCCAAAATTTCTTTATAGGAAAGTGTGTTAGAGGAGGACGGTGGGCTAAAAAAAGTGGCAGAACGAATCATTTTAAACCCCACTATGTCCAAATGTTACGTCATATTCAAATTAGTAATTAGAATATATTTAAATAAGATTTGACCTCTTTTTTCACAACGTCAGTAATATAAGTGCGAGTAAACAATTCATACATTAAGGGTTTTCATACGCCCACCTTCCCTTCTGTTTCAACAGTTTGTTAGATCTACTTGGGTTTCCAACATTTAACTCCTGGCATCGCTGATGAGTCCTATTTGTTTCAACCTATAACTCTCTATGACGCGTATCATATCTCAATTCACATATGTGAATGACTACACTAGAGATGGCAATCACAGATAATGCCTTTTTTTGAGGTAAAATAATAATATAACGTTAAATTGTCGGATCAACAGTTTGTTAGATCTACTTGGGTTTCCAACATTTAACTCCTGGCATCGCTGATGAGTCCTATTTGTTTCAACCTATAACTCTCTATGACGCGTATCATATCTCAATTCACATATGTGAATGACTACACTAGAGATGGCAATCACAGATAATGCCTTTTTTTGAGGTAAAATAATAATATAACGTTAAATTGTCGGATCAATTGTGAACATGTTTACTTTTCTTAGAGGAAAACGGTGCCGTATAGGGACCACAGAACCAAATTAAAAATAGATGGTGGGTTTTTCCCTTTTGGGTAGGAGATGTCATAGGAAAGCGAATGCCTCGGGGCTGTGGTTGGATATTTAGGTGGTAGAGGTTTCAAAAGTTTTATGTGTGGATTGAGCTATATATATAGATGTGAAGTGTATAAAAAAACACCACAATTCAAGTCTGTTGTTCTCCGGGGGAGTTTAGTAAGTGTGTAATTTATTGTAGGTTTTGGTCAATTTTTGGTGCCGAATTCAATACAAAATGGCGGCCCCAATTAAAAAAAAAATTCAAATAGGTAGAATTTTTAAACTTCTTTTTTATAGGTATGTGAGATGACATTTTTCAAAATGAGGGCAGGTGTGAACCAGTGTAGATAACCCCATTTAACATGGACAGTGGTAAACGTTAACACTATCGTCAATGGAAAATCGTTTGGTTCTGCGGTCCCTATACATGTAAATATATGGCGTGACGGTAAAATTGGGAGTTTGAAATAACCTCGTCTCAGTAGTTTCAGGATATCTATCTATATCGGGGACATTTTTCATGACTGACAGGAAATGGACGCTACACTTTCTTTTTAAGACATACATAGTTTGATGCCCAATTCATATACACATTCATACCACGAGCATTCAAGCTCTCAAAATGGTACATGCTGTTACATTAACAACAATGAAATAATTCTGTTTACATAATAAAATACAGTCACATAATTTTGTCTTGACAAATAAAAACTGGGTTTTACAATATCTAATGGAGTGGTGTAGTGGGCTAAACCGGTAGGTCTTACTTATACACGAGTATTGACGTTTTCGTCTTCGATGGTTCGAGTCCTGCAAGCATCACTTTTTTTCCTCAAACAATATCATTTTGTACGGCTCATTTTGATATTGTACAAAGTGATTATTTGCCGTCAGACGTTTTTAATTTTTGTAGAGGCATCCTATATGTAACACTAGGAAAAATGGAAAGTAACATTTGCCTAATGCACGGAATTTTATTTGACATGGAATACCATTGCGTAGGGGAGATAACACTTACGTTCACCTGACGGATGTAAGGAAAATGTTTCCTCAAAACATAATTAATTTAAAATTCAAAAGAAATGTCAGGCTATTTACTAAAATAGAGCTGTGATTTCTTAAACTTAATAATATATTTGGATCCTTTCAATTGGTTAATGCACGGAATTTTATTTGACGCAAAGCACGAGATATGCAAATGAGTCTATACCAAGGTTTCCGATTTCCAAAATTTCTTTATATGAAAGTGTGTTAGAGGCAGGACGGTGGGCTAAAACAAGTGGCAGAACGAATCATTTTAAACCCCACTATGTCCAAATGGTTTATGAAACACAAAAAAACTATGTCCAAATGTTACGTCATATTCAAATTAGTAATTACAATATTTTTAAATTAGATTTGACCTCTTTTTTCACAACGTCAGTAATATAAGTGCAAGTAAACAATTCATACATGAAGGGTTTTCATACGCCCACCTTCCCTTCTGTTTCAACAGTTTGTTAGATCTACTTGGGTTTCCAACATTTAACTCCTGGCATCGCTGATGAGTCCTATTTGTTTCAACCTATAACTCTCTATGACGCGTATCATATCTCAATACACATATGTGAATGACGACACTAGAGATGGCAATCACAGATAATGCCTTATTTTGAGGTAAAATAATAATATAACGTTAAATTGTCGGATCAATTGTGAACATGTTTACTTTTCTTAGAGGAAAACGGTGCCGTATAGGGACCACAGAACCAAATTAAAAATAGATGGTGGGTTTTTCCCTTTTGGGTAGCAGATTTCATAGGAAAGCGAATGCCTCGGGGCCGTGGTTGGATATTTAGGTGGTAGAGGTTTCAAAAGTTTTATGTGTGAATTGAGCTATATATATAGATGTGAAGTGTATAAAAAAACACCACAATTCAAGTCTGTTGTTCTCCGGGGGAGTTTAGTAAGTGTGTAATTTATTGTAGGTTTTGGTCAATTTTTGGTGCCGAATTCAATACAAAATGGCGGCCCCCAATTAACAAAAAAAATTCAAATAGGTAGAATTTTTAAACTTCTTTTTTATAGGTATGTGAGATGACATTTTTCAAAATGAGGGCAGGTGTGAACCAGTGTAGATAACCCCATTTAACATGGACAGTGGTAAACGTTAACACTATCGTCTATGGAAAATCGTTTGGTTCTGCGGTCCCTATACATGTAAATATATGGCGTGACGGTAAAATTGGGAGTTTGAAATAACCTCGTCTCAGTAGTTTCAGGATATCTATCTATATCGGGGACATTTTTCATGACTGACAGGAAATGGACGCTACACTTTCTTTTTAAGACATACATAGTTTGATGCCCAATTCATATACACATTCATACCACGAGCATTCAAGCTCTCAAAATGGTACATGCTGTTACATTAACAACAATGAAATAATTCTGTTAACATAATAAAATACAGTCACATAATTTTGTCTTGACGAATAAAAACTCGACTTTACAATATCTAATGGAGTGGTGTAGTGGGCTAAACCGGTAGGTCTTACTTATACACGACTTTCAACGTTTTCGTCTTCGATGGTTCGAGTCCTGCAAGTATCACTTTTTTCCCCAAACAATATCTTTTTGTACGGCTCATTTTGATATTGTACAAAGTGATTATTTGCTGTCAAACGTTTTTAATTTTTGTAGAGGCATCTTATATGTAACATTAGTAAAAATGG